TTCGACAAATACATTAACACATTGTGAACCACTTTTCTTTCACTACTTTAAAAATATTTTAGCAATTTAATTCACAAAATCAATTGCACACATTTAAAATAAAGTTTGTTTACACTTTGACAACAATAGGCTGACATGCAAGGTGACATGTCAATGAAGTTTTCAGTTACTGTTGCCACTAAAAGAAATTAGTACCATTAGTTTTCCGCAACATGGCGAGGGTTTTTATGTTCCTGGTCAGGCTATAAAATTTTTGCTTATTAGTGTTAAGCTACCCACGCTTTCACTTGTTTTTGAAGGAAGAAGTGAAAACTAAAAATTAAAAACTTAAATCCTCGTAATTTTGCGAGAAATGGGTCAAGCCCCAAATTTGAAGTCTTTTCATCGATAAAATTGTCCATAGATTACGCCCTTAAAGTTTGATCACTACAAGCCCGGACACACTGTATAACAGTAAATATATTTAAATGTTCCTGTATCGCTAGTAATAAATTAAATATCGTTTTCAGATCGAAATGAGTATTGTTTTGAAGACCGGGTTTGTGAGTGTTACAATATCAAATTCCAACCACAAACCGTATTTAAAGGAAAGTTGTTGGTATTGGCTGGACAAGTCCGAGATGTAGAAGAATTCAGAACAAAACAAGGGCAGAGTTCAATAATTCACGCTCTCATCATAAGGCAAACATCTGTGCACAACAACTACTGTGACTCATTTTTGTACTACCACGTTGTATAGTCTAGTTATTTCCAAATTGTAAACGGCTATTAAACCAGCCCTATCGAAATACAGTCCACTCTTTTATTTAAGTTCCCAGTAGGACCCTTTTCATGCGATTAATTAATGATATAAAAATGTTATATGTAGAATCGCTTTGCCATTGACAGATACATCTGCCCCCCTAGACAAAACGCACTTTTTGATCGAATCGAAAATCGAATCCGTCAAATTCCATACAAAAAAGGGGCTTTTCGACCACTTTTCGACTGGTTTGCGATTATAAATGGCACTTTGTCTAGACCCACTGATGGCAGAGCTTACATTATAGTTCCAAAATACTGGACTGTCCTGTCGATGACATTGACAGTGGGGCGCCACCGTCAATACCGGATCGCTGGTTCAGATTTTTGCCATGTTGGAAACCATATAGTTGAACGATGGTAGCGCCCCCCTGTCATTGAGTTTGGCGGGACAGTTCAGCGTGGGTCATCTATATTTCTACTTTTGACCACCATGAGCGCTGCGATAGATTATGTTACCCCCACCTAGTACTTCGCACCCAGCGAATACTACACGATGCATTCTGTTTTCTGTCCAAGATCACCACTGAGCCTGAGCTAGTACTTACTTATTCACTTTGTTTTAAATCCGAGATTATAACGAAGTTCCAATACCGGTAACGTTATTTCACTTGGTCGTTAAAATAAGCGCTGCGTGCAAACCGGAACCGGAACCGGTGTGCCGCTTCTAAATGTCACTGTCAGCCTGACTGTCAGTGTCAACAACGTTTTGTTGTCGTTTGCCCGAGACTCCGAAAACAAAAATGTTTGTCGGTGACTATTTTTTTTAATTTNTCCAACCACAAACCGTATTTAAAGGAAAGTTGTTGGTATTGGCTGGACAAGTCCGAGATGTAGAAGAATTCAGAACAAAACAAGGGCAGAGTTCAATAATTCACGCTCTCATCATAAGGCAAACATCTGTGCACAACAACTACTGTGACTCATTTTTGTACTACCACGTTGTATAGTCTAGTTATTTCCAAATTGTAAACGGCTATTAAACCAGCCCTATCGAAATACAGTCCACTCTTTTATTTAAGTTCCCAGTAGGACCCTTTTCATGCGATTAATTAATGATATAAAAATGTTATATGTAGAATCGCTTTGCCATTGACAGATACATCTGCCCCCCTAGACAAAACGCACTTTTTGATCGAATCGAAAATCGAATCCGTCAAATTCCATACAAAAAAGGGGCTTTTCGACCACTTTTCGACTGGTTTGCGATTATAAATGGCACTTTGTCTAGACCCACTGATGGCAGAGCTTACATTATAGTTCCAAAATACTGGACTGTCCTGTCGATGACATTGACAGTGGGGCGCCACCGTCAATACCGGATCGCTGGTTCAGATTTTTGCCATGTTGGAAACCATATAGTTGAACGATGGTAGCGCCCCCCTGTCATTGAGTTTGGCGGGACAGTTCAGCGTGGGTCATCTATATTTCTACTTTTGACCACCATGAGCGCTGCGATAGATTATGTTACCCCCACCTAGTACTTCGCACCCAGCGAATACTACACGATGCATTCTGTTTTCTGTCCAAGATCACCACTGAGCCTGAGCTAGTACTTACTTATTCACTTTGTTTTAAATCCGAGATTATAACGAAGTTCCAATACCGGTAACGTTATTTCACTTGGTCGTTAAAATAAGCGCTGCGTGCAAACCGGAACCGGAACCGGTGTGCCGCTTCTAAATGTCACTGTCAGCCTGACTGTCAGTGTCAACAACGTTTTGTTGTCGTTTGCCCGAGACTCCGAAAACAAAAATGTTTGTCGGTGACTATTTTTTTTAATTTCTACAGATTTTACTGAATTTCTAACGTAAATTTTGTTTTGACTTTGTTGTGAAAAGTGAGGTGTTTGTGCTGAATCGAGCTGATATCTGCTTCTTACTAGTGAGATCACCGAACATACGTCTACCGTTGTTCAATTATAAAGGTTCGTGTGTAAAAAATATGCCGTAAATCATACAAAACAGCACTTCATGTGTTTCTCTGATCATTAATGCTCTCTTAATTGCAAGTTTTACGGTTGAAAAAAGCGGCAGATGAAAACGATCCTGGCATAACCTATCATAATACCGGATGACGTCGGTTTTGTTACCATTTCCCTATAACTAACAATGTCTAAGGCTCTTTATATCAATTATTACGACGTGGTATACATTCGATTTAACCTTAACCACTCGCCGATGTTATTATTTTGATTATTAAACATCATACTTAACAAGTCTGTATACATAACCTTGTAACCCCGAAAATTCACGTTATGGCGATGTAGCCAAGCCAAGTGTTCGCGTATACTTCGGTGCTTCTTTGTATAGTTGCAAGGTGTGGCCCAGATCTCTCTGACTTGAGAGCCATTATAATTATTATCAATTATTATGGCTGAGTAGCACCACCTAACTGACCTACCGGTGTTTTTTGTATGGAGTTTGACAGACTTTTGATGTTAGTTAAAATTAAAGTAAGATGGTGCAACCCAGCCTTAGTTAGGTTTTTGTAGTACATACTTAAGAAAATAGTAAAGTTCTTGTGCAGATAACATAGCTACCACATTAAAACATTTATCTTCCCTCCTCATTTCAGGTACATCATGATGGTGTCCTGTGAAAAATGTTCCACACAATCCAGCAAAGACGACATGGTCTGCTGCAAGCAGTGCGGCTGCCACTACGACCGCAAGTGCACCGAGGGCCTGTGCGACGAGGCGGGGGACTGGATGGTGCCGCCCACAGAAATTAAACAATGGCTCTGCAATAGCTGCCGCCAATCACCAAGTATGTTTCTGTTATTAATTAAGTCTATTGGTTTGAATTCTTATATGGAAATCTATACTAAAATACTTGATGAGCTAAAAAGAATAACATTATTTTAAAATTAAAACAAGAAAATATTTAAATTCATCATTCATTCAGTATTTAAGGTTTTTTATGCACAAGCGAATGTTGTGGCACTAAAAAAGATGTCCCAATTCTGGCCCAGAGGTTGTACACCATTTCAAAAAATCAAGAAAAATCTATTGATTAAGGGGAAAATACAAATAATTTTACGTATAATTTAGCGGTTCAAAAATAAAAACAATTTAATAATTATAATTCATAATAGGCGTTACAAGATGAAAAAAAATAGATGAACCATAGACTACTAACATCAATTGCTGTGGGTCTAGACAAAACGCACTTTTAGATCGAATCGAATTTCATGTGTCACTTTGACATAATAGTTCTTTTCTTTGAAGTTTTTACCACCATTGAGTTCATTAACTAAAATCCCTGTGCATGCATATTTATTTATGTATGTTTATAATAGATTTAGTAAAGAAAGAATGAACAAGAAATGTTCATACCTATTTAATTTATTCTTAAAAATGCAACAAAAAAAAATTATAACTGTTTTAAAAATTGTCTTTTTTAATCTGTTCTTCAAATGTCTAAAATGCCATTTGTCAGTGTCATTGTTCCTTTAGTACACAAACTACTGTGTTTTTTTGTTGAAGTGTTTGTGTTATTATCTGTTAATATGGACTTAAAAGTTTAATTTTATTTAAATCACATCTTGGAAAAAGGTTCTGTAAAAGCAGAAAGTGCAAATCAACCAATAATCAATTACGAAATTTTTTGCATTCTGTTCTGTGGGTAGAGTTGAGAAATGTTAAAACAGCAATGTAAGTAAACATACTCATTATTTTCACAAATCTTGTTACTTGGTCTTTCGTAGTTGTATTGTTTACTGTGACGTCACGATCTAAATCAGCATGGCGCACAGTATGCTAGGAGACTGTATAATCGGACATTCTCATTTATTTGATGAACCGTATAGAGCTCAGTTATACAAACATGATAGTAAATCTCCCGTTTGAAAATTCCACGTAGTTTTCGCGGTATAAAAATTCAGTTACCTATTTTTTACTTCAAAATTATGCAAATATATTCTCACTCGTTAACTAATAACATTTAATTCAGAATTGTTATAATACTTCATAGAGCTCTTAAAACTACACGTAATAAGCGTATTAAGTGCTTCGTAAACGCATTCAGTTAATTAGGAAAAATTATTTTAGTGATTTTTGTTTTTATTTTTTTTCTCTATTAAACCTTAATATATGCAAACATTTTTAATTCCAAGATATAGTCTGATATTTAATCTAATTGTATCAGTAAATCAGCTTTAAACTCCGTGATATATTTGAGGAAAATCAAATTGAAAATATGCGCCAGGGCTGTCACATAGAATTGTAAATTTCCCATCACTTTTTAATAGAAATATTTCTTTTGGATGTTTTAATATCATCAGCTCGATTGTACCAAATTATTGTATTGACTTCCGATTTACATAGGTTTCAAATCGATGAGAAAATTATTAAAGGTGGGATAAATTCGACTTCCTAGATTTGTTTACATACTTTTTTAGTTAGTTACTTACATACACCTTAAGTTAATACATATAAGAGTGTTAAAAAAGAAAAAAAACTCGACTTGAGAACCTCCTCCTTTTTTTGAAGTCGGTTAAAAACAATGTGAATGTGACTTTTTAGAACCTTCAACACTATGCACATAACAGGCGGGATTTGAAACTTTTTAGACATGAATTATTCCTTCCAAAATTGTCGACCCTAGACGCGTAAAAATTTTATTAAAACGTTTTATGATTTTTCTCAAATATATCACGGAATTTAAAGCTGTTTTTTTTATACAATTAGATTAAATATCAGACTATATCTTGGAATTAAAAATGTTTGCATATATTAAGGTATAATAGAGAAAAAAAATAAAAACAAAAATCACTAAAATCATTTTTCCTAATTAACTGAATGCGTTTACGAAGCACTTAATACGCTTATTACGTGTAGTTTTAAGAGCTCTATGAAGTATTATAACAATTCTGAATTAAATGTTATTAGTTAACGAGTGAGAATATATTTGCATAATTTTGAAGTAAAAAAATAGGTAACTGAATTTTTATACCGCGAAAACTACGTGGAATTTTCAAACGGGAGTTTTACTATCATGTTTGTATAACTGAGCTCTATATGTTTCATCAAATAAATGAGAATGTCCGATTATACAGTCCCATAACACACTGTGTGGCGGATTGACGGCTAGCATTTCTGCGCGATAAATCGAAATCGTAAAATCAAAGTTTTATAAAATTTGAATTCTATTGATTCATTACAACTTCAGGATTGATTTAAACCAGTTTTCAAAAACCGGCCAAGTGCGAGTCGGGCTCGCGCACAAAGGGTTCCGTAGCAGCAAATATAATAAACTTATTATGTCAATTTATACACCTGGTGAATGGAGCCTAAACTCTCCCGATATTTTGCCTTGTACTTTTATGTATGAATATTAATTTTATATATGTATTTATAAATATTCCGAGCTAAAGAGGTGGCAAAAGCAATGGCAAACAAACCACAATCAATAGTATTCGGTTGTCGCTGAACACTTGGAAACTGAATACATGACTCCGATAGATACGGAAACAAGGCTTTTACATATATTTTTTGCGATTTTCCTAGAACACCAACAAGACTATCGTACACACGCAGTATTCCATTAATGTAATAAATACAACTCCAGTGCCCCACTAATCCCACGTCACCGTCATAAATTACTTGAAGGTGCGTCTCATTTTTAGGTACAGGTTCAATCAGTTCAGGGTGTTGAAATAATTCTAGCTCACGCGGTCTAAATGATGTGCACCGAAGTAACTTTTCATGAAATGCGCGAACCACCAAATGTTTTTGATCTAAGTAACTGATAACATTTTACACATGTACGAAACTTTTGTGGTTAATGGTATTAGTCTAATTGAATCATTATACACAAAATAAATAATCATTTGTCTTTTACTTTTTGTGATATAAATTAAGTTACATTCTTTTTCACCAACCAACAATACATAGTTTTTTTTGTGTATATTAATATGAGTCATCTTATATTGTTAATCACAAATTCAATCTGAACAACTTCAATCGTGTAAAAAGTAGTAACACGAGTCGTACCTCTTGACACAATAAAAAATTGAAAGAAGCCTCCGGTACACTTTGTTAAAAGTAGACATGTATCAATATACACGAAAGAAAACTCAAAATTGGTTCACAAAGCCTTACTTGTATCATTTGGCACAAAATTATTTTCTTTTCTATACGTCGTAGAAACATACCGATTAGATACAAAAATAGCTAATTTTTCAGAGATTCACATTATGTTATAAAGTCAATTTTGATCTAAGTCGAGTTAGATCCCTTTTCACTGGGGGTACAGAATTATTAAAAGTGCCTACCCAAAGTCATTATTCCACGCGGACGAAGTCGCGGGCACAGCTAGTTTGGAATATAAGTAGTCTTTGGTGTATGAATCAAGGAAAAACTAAAATATTTGGGGGCACGGTAGTGCAACCGCCAAGTCGAGTAAAATTTTTCAATTTCGGTCCAGTTTTCTAGATACATAACTGCTGTCTACAAACTACAAAAAGAAATGAGATTTGGGGGCACGGTAGTGCAACCGCCAAGTCGAGTAAAATTTTTCAATTTCGGTCCAGTTTTCTATATACATAACTGCTGTCTACAAAATACAAAAAGTTGTGAGATCCATGTAATACCAAGTCCAGGCCAGGAAATCTTTAACGTTTTACATAAATATATTGACTTGGCCATCGCATGAAAACACGTGTAAATTAAATTATTTAGTGCGATGGCCAAGTCAATAATTTATGTAAAACGTTAAAGATTTCCTGGCCTGGNCTGCGCCGCGCTGCCGCCGCCCGCGGCGCTGCGCCGGGCGCCCTGGCTGTGCCGCGAGTGTGAAGGTAACGCGAGCGAGCGAGCGGCCACGCGGCGTGCGGGTGGCTACGCGGCGCCCGCACGTCACGTAGCCGCCCGTTTGAATAATACTGAGACGTGTAAAAGGGTTTTTAAAAGCCTGTTTGCAGAACATAAATGTTTTCCCTTAGTAACCTTAGAATTAAACACTGACTATGGTGTTCTTATGAAGAGAAATGCAGCCGATTTATAGTCCGCTCACCGAGCACGTAGAATTTCGTCCAATGACCCCAAACTACCTATCCTTATCGCTCGCGCGTAAATACATTGCTGCCGCGACTGTGCGACGGACGGCAGCAGTGAGTGTGCAAGCGCGACAATAATATAATTACGCGCGAGCGATAAGGATAGGTAGTTTGGGGTCATTGCACGAAATTCTACGTGCTCGGCGACCGGACTTTATCATCATTTATAATTTGGCTACCTATGTACCAGTAGTTGAAAGATATTTTGAGTTGGAATATGTACCATATCTTACGCTTGCGTTCCTCGCAGTGTCGGTGCCGACCGGCGACCAGCTATTCGGCTACTCGTTCGCGAAGCACCCTGCGCTGTGGAAGCCGCACGCCACAGAGGTAACTATTGTTGTTTACAGAAGAGTATACTGATCATAATGTTGGTAAAAGATGTGTGTAAGATGTTTGCAAAGGTGGACAAAAATACCATCGGCAACAGTGTTAACTGCCCATTGCCGGTCATGTCGTCTCGTTCTATCGCAAAGAATCACCATTTGATGAAAGCGAGAGCAAATACGGAAATGGATAGTTAACACTGTAGCCGTGTGTACGTCACTTACAGATGTTTTTATAGAAAACAGTATTACTAATCATAATGCTGACCAAAGATATGTGTCAAGATGTTTGCAAAGATGGACAAAAAGTTGGTCAGTTACAAATATTTGAACTTTGGACAAAATCCTATATTGTGATACGTTGCGAAATTTTATTGCTCATTATGTGCGCTATCTTTGCAAATATAATATTTGCCGTTACTTCTTCTTAGCACCAACTGACATCCTTATCCTTAATATCCTTGGACATTTTACACTGCACCGCTAGCCCCAAACTAAGCAAAGCTTGTACTATGGGTACTAGACAACGGATATAAACATACTTAAATATTTTTTTTGTAAATACATACATTATTGTAGTGTGCGTGTGCACTCATGCCTTTAGCGTGTACCGATAACACTCAAACGTTAACAGAAGAATGGTCAGGCGCGTCTTCGTGGATGATGGATCTATACAGGGTGGAATTTTGTAATGCCACCTGAAGGGAAAGTACTCTTAATACTGTAGATAGAAAATTTTACTGAAAGAAAACATTTCTTTATTTTTGAAAAGAAAGAGAACTGCATTCAAAGATTTTCGAAAATTTACTACCATACCATACAGTTTTCTGTTCATAATTAAAATTATTTAAGATTTCATGGTTTTCCTTTCATTTGATTTATCAAGTTTGTTAGAGAGATTTCATCCTTATACCCAATCTATAGATGCAATAAAAATACAGGGTGTAATTTTTAACACATTTTAGTTGGATCGATTCCCGGGTGTAGCAAGCATATTTTTGGAAATCTTTGAATGCAGTTCTATTTCTTTTCAAAAATGTTTTCTTTGAGAAAAAAATTCTATCTACAATATTAAGAGTACTTTCCTTTCAGGTGGCATTACAAAATTCCACCCTGTATGTACAAACATGTGTGTACATAGGATTGACATTAAGCACTGGTGTGTATCAGGAGCAGCGGCGGCGGGCACTGTCGTTGCTGGCGCGCGAGCTGGGCCTCAAGGACACGGCGGGGCTGGCCAACCGCTGCCGGGACTTCGCCAAGCGGTACAAGGAAATGGTCAGTCATAATATCATCACTATTCACGACCCTCATCGTCAGTATCTTTTAACTTTCCCCCCGGGACAAACTTGACCTTCACTGGTTGGGTTTTTATTGGCGGTCAAGCTGTAGATCCTGGCTACACAGGAGTTGCAGCGGTGGGAACGAGACGTGACTATTTTTTTCAATTATTCTCAAGTCCCTTTAGATGCATCACCATTTTTTTTCTTATTTTCAAGACCCTTTAAGATAGCGGATTCCTCTTCAATGCTGCGCGGCTATACCATAACATCATTTTAAAAAATAATGTTTTTTTTTTAATATGGACTTGATGTTAAAATGAAAAAATAGGGATAGATATTCGAAATTTCAGACAACGTTGCAATGAATACTGTGTAGTAATCTGTCGCCGTGATATGCATTCTCTGATAATCATAATATCTTCTTTTCTTTCCTTCACTTTTTTTTGCATGTGGTATGGTGGTTGCTGAAATGTTTGAGAGCTCATAGACGTGCGAGATTATGTTGGCGTTGCTTGCGACAGTGGTAGGTGACGGCCAGCGACTGTCGGCGACAGTCTTCGACTCGCGCCTTTCGCTGTCATGACGGCTCAAAAACTGAACTCCGACAAACTTTACTTCGACATTACGTTATTCCGACACTTCTGAATATTGACATGACTTTACTTCGACACTACACTACTCAGGCTAAGGCGAATATCCTTTGTCTAAGTAGTGTAGCGTCGGAGTTTACTTAGATAGCCTGTCATGACACATGACACTCTGACTATACGTTAATGACTGCCCGTCTTCGAGTCGCGATGCATCGGCGACTGTCGGTGACCATCGGCGGTATTCGCGATGCGTCAGCGACAGTCTTCTATCTGTGGTCGGCAACTGTTGCCGATCGTCGTCGCCGACTTAAGGTAGCCTTTCGAACTGAGCGTCACAGACGCAGCGTCTTTAGCTTTGGTCTTAAAGGTAGCCTTTGGAAGCGAGCTAGTGACGCGGCGTTGGTGGCACAAGACCAAAGCCAAAGACGCTGCGTCTGTGACGCTTGGTTCGAAAGGCTACCTTTCGGCCGAATACTGAAACGCCATTTAAATATTTGACGGCTTCTCAAATAGTTAAGCAGCTCCTAAACTTACATTTCGCATACTCAAAACAATATCTGAGCAGTTCTCAATTTTTAAGCACCTCTCAAATTAAGTTGCACTCAAACGCCACTTAAATGAATTTTCGCATACTGAAACGCCATTCAACGCTAAGCATTACTCAAACAACTGTCAAATCGTCTTAAGCAGCTGTTAAATTTGAGAGTGCTTGCGCGGTATCTTAAATCCTATTCTTATACCTAAATCGACCTAAATAGTGGTAAATAATGTGTGTCATCGTTATCATTTCTTTCGAGGCTCGAGGAAATACCTAGATCTAATCGCAGGAACGCAATAATTCTGAACGCTATTGAAAAATATTATTATAATGACATGCAATTCCGAGCGAGGTTCCGCATCTCTAAAGAAACGGTGTTGTGTCTGGATTCATAATTTGGAAGCTCTTTGAAACCCCGCACCAAACGCCATATAACCAGTGGACCAAATACTTATTATAACCCTACTGTTCTACGCAACGGGAAGTTATGAACGTGTACTAGGTGATATCTTCCACATCTAACAGCCAACTGTGCATCGTATAGTGCACGAAGTAACAACCAAAATAGCTGCTATGAAATCGCTTTACATAAACATGCCTATTTCTGAGGATTAAGGGGACATCGCATAGCAGCATTTCCAAGAGTTGTTGATTTGTCAATTTGATGCTCTGTCAGTCAACAATGATAAATGTCAATTGTGGTTACGTTTCGGTCCACGATCGCCACTTAATAGATTTCAACAATAAAAAGTATCACATTTAAAATTATTTTTTTAATTAAATAAAAATGCAAGCATTAATTTTTTTATATGATAAAACGAGATTTATGTTTAATAGAAACTAAAAATAAACTGTTGTATGTTAAGTTGATTGAGTAATATTTCCATAAAAGACAATACATAACCAAACGCTGCTGCGTGTAATGGATAAAAAACGTAAAGTTATCATTTGTGTAAATGAAAACATACTTTTTTTGGTAAATGTTGCCATTATGTAAACATTTGAGAGCTGCTTAGCTGATCACGGCTTCAAATCCGTTGAGTGGCGTTTGAGAATACCATTTAAAATTGAAGGATACTTAAATTTAGGAGCCCGTCAGCTGAGTGACAGATTTGAGTAGTGTTTCAGTATTCGGCCGTTTAAGTCGCAAGCAGTCGTGATATTAAAATAAATCCTACTAGCTCGATTGATGGTTTCATTTAATTTATTTAAACCAGGTTACCTATAATAATATTTTTTCGTTAATTTATGAAAATATCAAATTAGCCCGTAATCCTGAATCCTGATACATAAAGTTAGCCTATTAATTTAACACAGGTACGACTGTACTCAGTGTTGCACTATCAAATGCAATTGAGGCGCCTCTATGCCAGGGTTTTTATGTTCCTGGTCAGGCTATAATGCGGAATCGAGTGTATTTTCTAAACATGGCAAAAATTGGTGCGGTGAGATAGTGGCGCCCTCTTGTCAATGTTTTCCTTTTTGTTGTATTTAAAATGTTGGTTGGAGAGGCACCCGCTGAAAACCAGCGTCGGGGCACGCGTGCATGCACGCGTGGCTCGATTAATGCTGAGCGGGCGCCTTTTTGGCACAAAATATGCGTGTAGTTTTAAGTCCCTTTCTTCTGTTTTTTTGTTTTCTTTTGTGTCAAAGTTTTTCTTATTCTTATTCTTATACTGTCGCTCTATTGCATTAGTGCTGTAACGCCAAGTTTGGTTGCAGCTGCGCTCGCTGGCTGAGCAGCACCGCTCTCTTGAGGCCGTGACTCAGCACGCGCCGCCCTGGGTGCGGCACCTCGAGCAGCGCCTGCGCTGGCTGCCCGCCATCGTGGAGGTACAAACACGTACACACAATATACATATTTACTACACATTAGGGTGGTCCTTATTTTTCGACTTTTGAATTATCCCCGGGGCACTTTCTCATTCGATTATATACCTCTAAATATGAAATTAGCTTTTTTTGTTTTTTTTTTTAGTTAAGATTTAGAGGTCGCTACCAGCTGTCAAAATATTTACAAAAGCTTTGAAAATCTTAAATCATGGTTTCATAAATGTTTTATTTAAGTCTTTATATCACATTTTACCTGCAATTGAACATCGCATAGATAGAATAGACAATCGCTTCTTGTCCCCTTCTCCCCTCAACCCCTCTTCTGTACCGACCATGGTACCGACGCGTCGGATACTAACAAGTTAACTCTTATATCTTAAAAATAATTGATTCAAATATGTACATTGTACATAATATCTTAGTTCATAGCAACAACAATAATTTTGTAATATTTTTATTTGGCTTTGGCTTTAAAAGTAAATGAATCTAACAAATACAGATTTTGTTTTTACTTAAAATTCAAACCTTGGTAGCGACCACTAAATGTATTTTAAAAATTTAAAAAAAATAATGAAAGACTTTCATATGGTATATATTCAAATTACGTGGTGCCCCGCAAAATATGAGAAAAAAATTTTTTTTTGTACGTATAAAGACCACCCTACTACACATGTAGAAAGTTTTCTTCACGAAGGTATTTAAATAAATGTCTACTCAATATCGTCAACAATATGATGTAATTTAGCTTGTCTCAGAGTCGAGCATCATTCACTTACTTTAATCCATTGCAAACGAATTTACTCGAGAAAACGATTCTAAATACACTAAACCTATTTAGTGATCAGCACTGTGCCGATCCGGGGATAACAGCTACAAGAAGCTACAGCGTTGACGTCTATGCACCACACGCGTCACTCACTGCTCGTTCGTGAATCTCTTGTGGATTAAATCCGGCGGGTACACCACGCGTGTTTAGTTTTCGATGTCCACTCGGGGAGATGAACATGCCTGAAGGCGGAGCAGAAAAATGCTATTCAAAACATTTCTCTGCTCCGTCTTAGTGGAAACCGAGCCCAAAAGTCTGTAGATTGCGGGGTGTCCAAAAAGTCTAAAAAATTGTTTAACCCCCTTGGGTCAAAGTCGAATCGAGGGTGTACTAGCTTAGAAATAAAAGCCAAACTCAGTACACGACGGGTTTATTACGTCACCACAATCGGTTAGTAACAAGTAGGATGGTTAATGTGAACGGTGGTTCAAAACCTTTATATATGGGTCGCTTAAAACTTCGACACCGCGATGTAAGTCAGCACAACGCCATCTATTGACAGTCTTGCGAACTAAAATGTCTTAGAATCTACGGAATGTAACTAATTGACTGGACATTGACTTATAGACTATTCTTACACTAATGATGAACATAGTCATCATCATTACCTTCACAGGCGCTCCCTCGGCCGCCGCCGCGCGCGCCCAGGGACGTGCTTCTGGAGCTCGCGCGCGACATGCGGCGCCCGCACGCCCGCGCCCGCGCCGTCGGCCGCCTCGCCGCCGCCATCGCCTGCCCCGCCGCCCAGCTGCGCCGCGTGTGGTGAGTGCCTGCCCCGCCGCCCAGCTGCGCCGCGTGTGGTGAGTGCCTGCCCCGCCGCCCAGCTGCGCCGCGTGTGGTGAGTGCCTGCCCCCCGCCCAGCTGCGCCGCGTGTGGTGAGTGCCTGCCCCGCCGCCCAGCTGCGCCGCGTGTGGTGAGTGCCTGCCCCGCCGCCCAGCTGCGCCGCGTGTGGTGAGTGACGCCTGCCAGCACGAGCGACAGTATCGGAACCATGCCACGGCACACTGAAAACCAGTGTCGTGGCCTTCCCCACCGTGGGCCACTGAGTGGAGTCCCATTGCGATGGACATCGCTGTTGCAACAGGATAAGACTGCTCAGTTCACTTTTTATTTTCTTGTAATATTTATGTCGGTCCACCTAGTGGGAGGCCTGCCCACGCTACGTGTTCCGACTCGTGGTCGCCACTCAAGAACTTTCCTGCCCCAGCGGCCATCAGCTCTTCGAGCTATGTGCCCCGCCCATTGCCACTTGATTTTAGCGATTCTGCGGGCTATGTCAGTCACTCTGGTTCTCCTACGGATCTCCTCATTTCTGATTCGATCACGCAGCGCGGAAGGAGCCTGGATGCGAGCGGCGCAAGACCAATCTTTGTGGAAATCCTTGGGGGAAGCCTTTGTCCAGCAGTGGACGTCTTTCGGCTGAAACGAACGAACGAACGAATATTTATGTGCTTTTTCTGTCTTTTTTTCTGTATACGTTCCCTGTCCTTAACTAAGTGATGTTCATCGTAATAAATGTTTCTTTCTTTCTTTCTTTTTCTTTATCCAGGACATACCTATGTTTCACTTGATTCATGATGTTGTCACGCAGGAGCCAGGCATGCCACGTGGCGCTGCTGAAGCTGACGGCGCTGTCGCGGCTGGGCGACGTGGCGTCGCCGGGCGCGCGGCTGTCGCGCCGCGAGTGGCTGTGCGCCGACGCCACGCTGCTGGCCAGCGACAAGCGGGCCGCCTGGCTGGTGAGTGGCTCTCGCTGTCATCCACACTAGCTACACCGTAACACCTTTATTCCAAACTTGCTTTTGCCCGTGGCTTCACCCGCGTGAAATGTATTTTGTCACAGATCGTCATTAATTATAGCCTATATGTTATTCTGGGTTATAAACAATAACCCCCTTACTAATAAAAAGTTACACAGTTGTTGAACACTGTTTTAAAATGACATTTCCATACTAAACGTCACTTTAAAACACTGTTCAACGAGCGCGTAAGTTTTATTAGTAAGGGGGTCATACTGTAAAGTTTCATTAAAATCCGTTCAGTAGTTTTTGCGTGAAAGAGTAACAAACATCCACACAAACTTTCGCATTTATAATATTATAGTAGGATTAAACGATCCAGAACTGTGAAGCCCAGTGTCATTACCATTTGTTTGTAGTGACTTTGACCTATTGAAACCAGAAAAATAAATATCACATTAGTACCTGTAAAAGTCCTCTACTAAATTATTACCATATCTGCAGGTCTATGTGTCATAAGAGTTGATTAAGAGACAAATAGGTGTGTGTTCATTAAAGAAGAGTGATTCTTGTAGGCTCATTGTACGCCCACACTACACTGCGTGTGAGAGCGGCTCGGCTTGCGTTCGGCTCGCTTAGCATAAACATAGAGTCTATGTAGTCTAGGAGCACGACGCACTTGTAGGGACAGTCAGTGTGTACTGTCAATACAGTGTATTGACAGTACACACTCGAGGTTGGTCTATGCCTCTAAAGTACGGCCAACTAGCAGCGATACAAAAGGTTAATTCGACTGTCGAACTGACAATCTATTCTGTCTCTTCGGTATTTGTCGTAATGTCTCGTTCTCCCGCTAAAATATGTCAAAGTCAAACCCTTAGGCTGGGTTGCAACATCTTATTTTTACTTTGACAAACGTCAAAAATCTGTCAAATTCCATACAAAAAGCACCGGTTAACTTCATAGTTACCGTTAAAGATAGGTGGTGCAACCCACCCCTACTATTTCAAATGACCATGACATTGGGTTTGTTTACATTTGGTATCGCTTCTCGGTGGCTGTAGTTTAGAGTGCGTCGTGCTCCAGCAATAGAGACTGAATGAGTCTAAGATGTGTAGCCGCGACTGCTTGGTGACAGTGGTGCGAGCGGTGCTGGTGCTGCGATGAGGGACGGTGCGACGTGCAGTGGTCACAACGAAACAGCTCTTCTCAGAGCTATGCAACGGCTCTTGTCAGGGCCTTATTCCTGTTTCTATTATGATGACCGATGTGGTGTTTCTGTGCTGAAAGTTGCTTGTGGCTTCGGCTGCAAACATTCATTGTTTCTATTCGAAGACGTTTTTTATTGTGGTCGCTGGCGGCTACAGTTGCAGGATGGGTGCTATTTTGCAAGAAAGTTCATAGTCTGATGCTGTCGACCGTCCATTAGAGTGCATCGTGCTCCTGCACTGGAGACCAAGTGACCCGATGATGACCTTCCTCAGGTGGGCAGCTCGAACCCGGAGCGGCGCGCGCTGGCCGTGCTGCTGCGGCTGGTGCAGCAGTTCTCGCTGGAGGCCACGCAGCCGCGCAGCCTCCGCGCGCGCTGGCTGTCCGCCTACCGCAGCTACAGCGAGTGGTGAGACATGTAGCGTGATGTAGCGTCGTGTAGCGTCGTGCTGCTGCGGCTGGTGCAGCAGTTCTCGCTGGAGGCCACGCAGCCGCGCAGCCTCCGCGCGCGCTGGCTGTCCGCCTACCGCAGCTACAGCGAGTGGTGAGACATGTAGCGTGATGTAGCGTCGTGCTGCTGCGGCTGGTGCAGCAGTTCTCGCTGGAGGCCACGCAGCCGCAACTCCTGTGTAGCCAGGATCTACAGCTTGACCGCCAATAAAACCCAACCAGTGAAGGTCAAGCTTGTCCCGAGTTAAAATGAAACTTTTATCGGACCCGCAATGAAATCAATCAGAAAAACATAGCGTCCTCTCGCAACGATATTGTGACATCTGCTACGTCAATCCAATGAGGGTTTTCGCGAATGAAAAATCCGCCAGATGGCAATACGTTGACGCGAGATCCAAATGCTGCATGATTAGTTATTTTAAACATGACATTGACAGATGTGTCAAAATCCACCAATCACGTAGCAGTCAGACCCCACATCCACGTCCCGCCATTTAGCGGATCTTTCATTCGTGATAACCCTCATTGGAGATATCACACTGTCGTCGCAAATGGATGATAAGGAGAAGTTGTATAATAGGCTAGTTTCCTAAAAAAATTTTTTTAGTCCGTCATGTTTAATATCAAAAAATATTGGACACATATATTTTTTATTTGTCAATCTAACAAATAAATACATAGTTATGGTGCGTTGAAGTTCCGCACGACGTCACAACGTGCGGCACTTTTATGCACGCATTGACGTCACGGGCCTCTTCTTATGAACTTTGGCGCGCTTTATCTCTTTAAATTTTCATTAGTTTGAAAAAGTGAAAAATACGTGTAGAGTTTTTTTTGATAAGTTAACTGACGGACTAATTAAAACTCTTGCTTTTTGACCCAGGAAACATCCCTATTGTCTGTGTGTATGTCGCAGGGGACTGGTGTCGTCGGCGATGGTGCTGCAGCGGCGCTGGTGGGAGCTGAAGCTGGAGGCACACGAGCTGGCGCGCGCACAGCAGCCGCTGCCGCCGCTACACGCGCTGCTGCTGCACAGGTAGGCAGGCTCGCTGTGTGGCAGGGGGCTGGGGCTGCACAGGTAGGCAGGCTCGCTTGTGGCAGGGGGCTGGTGCTGCACAGGTAGGCAGGCTCGCTGTGTGGCAGGCGGCTGGTGCTGCACAGGTAGGCAGGCTCGCTGTGTGGCAGGGGGCTGGTGCTGCACAGGTAGGCAGGCTCGCTGTGTGGCAGGTAGGCAGGCTCGCTGTGTGGCAGGCGGCTGGTGCTGCACAGCTAGGCAGGCTCGCTGTGTGGCAGGCGGCTGGTGCTGCACAGCTAGGCAGGCTCGCTGTGTGGCAGGCGGCTGGTGTCGGCGCTGGTAGGCAGGCTCGCTGTGTGGCAGGCGGCTGGTGCTGCACAGCTAGGCAGGCTCGCTGTGTGGCAGGCGGCTGGTGCTGCACAGCTAGGCAGGCTCGCTGTGTGGCAGGCGGCTGGTGTCGGCGCTGGTAGGCAGGCTCGCTGTGTGGCAGGCGGCTGGTGCTGCACAGGTAGGCGGGCTCGCTTTTGGCAGGCGGCTGGTGCTGCACAGGTAGGCAGGCTCGCTGTGTGGCAGAGGGCTGGTGTATACACAAGACTGGCGGCTGGACTATGATGATGTACCTGCCCTTGACATAAACATGTTTAACTTACCACGAGGAGTTAACGGAACTGTTTGGCCCGGTTTCCACCAAAGCGGAGCGGTGCACCAAAGCTGACAACGCACAGCGTCGCGTCACGCCGCCGCTGTCAAATTCTATAGAAAAAACCGGCCAAGTGCGAGTCGGGCTCGCGCACAAAGGGTTCCGTAGCAGCAACAGTTAAATCAACCTATATAGCGCGCGATGTTTTACCGCGAACTAGGAGTACTGTGCCTAACGCCACTGCCACTAGCCCGCTCCGCCGCTCGCCCCGCCTACGCACACCGCGCTCATAAACTCCGGCGCCCCTCGTCGGCCAGTCCGTCTCAGAAAGGCAAACGGTGCGCGCGTCACGAGCCGCGGGGCCGGCGCATTTTGTTTCTCACTGTCATTTTGTCTTTTCTGCTTTGTAACTTGTAAATCTACTTGTGTCACGTTTATAATATTGTCTTTAGTGAATAAACCATTTAAACCTACTTATACGCCTATAAATGGCGCATCCAACGAGTGGCTTCGAACTGTGAATTGAACTGTGTTGTGAACTTGTAAAAACTTTACGAACATTATTAACTGTTTACGTCTTTCCACTGAGAAGTCAGTCTAGTGCAAGTGTGCGTTTATCAGGCTCGACTTACATTATCCAGTGCACGTAAGAGTTTTGTACAGACTGTGACATTAACTGTTATTGTTTTATAGTGTGTATATAGTAGGTTAGTTAGACTACAGACCAAGTGACTTTTGTAAATCTTTTGTACATAAACATAAACATTAAGTGAAACTGTGAGTCTGTGAAACAAACAATGCTTGCTTACAAGTTTCCGCGCGTAAGTACGACAGACGGACAGACGGACAGACGGACATGACGAAACTATAAGGGTTCCGTTTTTGCCATTTTGGCTACGGAACCCTAAAAAAACAAGTGCATCCGACACTTCTCCGCTCGATCCATTTCCACCGAAGCGAAGCAAAGTGGAGTTGTGCAAATAATGGAATCAGAGGTGGAATTGTGTAAAGCAATCGTAATCATTTGACAGTTCATAACATACGATAAAGTCAGTTAAACAAAGTTTTTGACAGAATAATCATACGTTATGAACTGTAAAATGATAACGATTGCTTTACATAATTCCACCTCTGATTCCATCATTTGCACAACTCCACTTTGCTTCGCTCGGCAGATGGAAACTGGCCTTACAATGGTGCTATGTCCGCAGATACCCGTACGTGGCGACGCGGCGCGTGCCGCCGTGGCGCGACCTGCGCGCGCAAGCGCTCATCGTCGACGTCACCGTGAGTACACCGGCCGTACATTCATTGAATACTCTAAAAAGTGTATACAGGGTGGAATTTTGTAATGCCACCTGGAGGGAAAGTACTCTTAATATTGTAGATAGAATTTTTTTCTCAAAGAAAACGTTCCTTTATTTTTAAAAAGAAATAGAACTGCATTCAAAGATTTTCAAAAAATTGCTTGCCACACCCGGGAATCAAACCAGCTTAAATCTGTTAAAAATTACACCCTGTATTTTTATTGCATCGATCGTTAGCATCAAGGATAAGGATGAAATCTCTCTAACAAACTTGATAAATCAAATTAAAGGAAATCCATAAAATCTTAAATTATTTTAATTAATGTACAGAAAATTGTATGGTATGGTAGTGAAATTTCGAAAATTTTTCGAAAATATATGAATGCAGTTGTCTTTCTTTTCAAAAATAAAGGAATGTTTTCTTTCAGTAAAAATTTCTATCTGCTGTATTAAGAGTACTTTCCCTTCAGGTGGCATTACAAAATTCCACCCTGTATAGCTACTTCTAACGATATGAAAGGCTTCGGCAGACCAAACGCGGGGCATTAGCAGCGCAGTTCGAATGCGGGCCCGCGCAAGTTGAAATACAAAAAACTCTTTGAAGTGTGTCACACCAAAAGACAATGCCGGAAATTGGCGTCCTTTTTTTTCGCGCTGCCATCGACCAAACCATGTTTTTTGGCTACAACATAGTGTAATAAACCAAACTTAATATGACATGACAAAACAAATAGTGACGCCTTTTTTTATTGCGCTGGTTCTGCTCCACACTGGCTGGAGCCTATAATGGATGGGATTGTTTGTTTACACATACAATGTCACTATTTTGTTGCAATTTCTTACAAAACTTGCGCGCAGAAAGCAAATCTAGTATGTAAAATCATCAAACTCAGTTCAGACGGAGTTAAGAGGTATACATGTCATAGTAAGTTTGGTTTATTACACTATTTTGTAATAAAAAAATAAGGTGGTAAAAAGACGCCACCTTCCATACAATCGTCCTTTGAACGCGGGCCCGCGCTCCAACCGCGCCGCACTGCAACTGCCGAACGACAAACCAGGCGGCGCGGGAGCGGGACAGAAGCGGCGCGAACGCGGGCCCGCGCTGTTGTGTTACTATGGCGGCCATATTAGCATGACCCACCGGAGGCAGCTTAGGGCGGTAGCAGAGCGTTGAAAGCGGTTTACGAATATTGTATCCCATCAAAAACAATTAACATAAATTATTGACTTGACCATTGCACTAAATAATTTAATTTACACGTGTTTTCATGCGATGGCCAAGTCAATATATTTATGTAAAACGTTAAAGATTTCCTGGCCTGGACTTGGTATTACATGGATCTCACAACTTTTTACCGTAGAACAACTGAGTTGCGAGACTTGGTTTTTTTGACAAGTATTGTTTTTGATGGGATCTCATTTCTTTTTGTATTTTGTAGACAGCAGTTATGTATCTAGAAAACTGGACCGAAAATGAAAAATTTTACTCGACTTGGCGGTTGCACTACCGTGCCCCCAAATATTTTAGTTTTTCCTTGATTCATACACCAAACACTACTTATATTCCAAATTTGAAGCTTCTAGGTCTGCTAGAAGTGCCTTAGAGTTTTGATGATCGGTGAGTCAGTCAGTGAGTCAGTGAGTGACAAAATTAAGTAACTTTGACCCGTTATAATTCTTAAACTACTGGTTCAAATTGAATGAAATTTGAAATATACCGTGTCTTTACAATGCCTGCATAGCTAATGAAAATTCAGCCTTCTAGTTTTATCCAGAACGAAGTTACAGGCGGTCGAAAATGGCCTGAATTGCTTCGAGAAAAGGATGGTACGGCCGTGCTCGACTTGGTGGGGGCACTGCCGTGCCCCCAGATTATTTTACAACCGCCCGCGTTGCAACTGCTTTGAAACTGCCGCTGCCTTCAGTGTGCCTCAGCCGCGCTGCAACTGACCCGCACTGCTTCTGACCCGCGTTTGGTCTGTGGAAGCCTGAAATGATTCTCTAAAATGATCTTGTTATTTGTACTTAATATCAATTGTTGAACCATACCGTCTCCACAGGAGGAGGACGTGAAGGCTTTCAAGAACTTCGTCGATCCGCTGCCGGTCGCAGGTACTCTCAAAACCACATTTTTATAAAGAAACATTTAATTGTGAATCAAGTGTTTAGATTACAATAAAATATTTTTAAAGGACATAGCAGACATATCTACTCGGAAAGAGATCAACACCGTATCGCCTTTTGCGAGCTGTCATCGCTTTTCGCGCGTTGCCAATCGCGATGCGAGGCGTTTACGTTACAGTGAAGATAAAGTGTGCGTTAAAGTATGGAGTTTCTTACAAAGAATACTGACCGCCTCGAGTTGATACGGTTACGATCCTTTTCCGGATTGACAAATGTGCCTTTAATTTAAATACCAGTGTCTGCAGAATACCAGTGGCAGTAACGTGCTCCCGAGTACGTTATGGCCTCATACTGAGCAAAGACCAATTTGGTAAAGCCTGGTCCGTGAGCACGTAGAATTTTGTCCAATGACCCCAAGCTACCCATCCTTATCGCTCGCGCGTAATTATGTTGCTGTCGCGCTCGCACACTCACTGCGGGCGCGCGTCGCACAGTCGCGACAGCAATAAAATTACACGCGAGCAATAAGGATGGGTAGCTTAGGGTCATTGGACAAAATTCTACGTGCTCACGGACCAGGCTTTACAAATAATTCTTTTTTTTGCTCCTTATGTTGATCTGTATTGTAATATCTTTGATACCAAATAAATATTTTTTCTTTCTTTCTCTCTTTAAATCTTACCTTGTCCTCCGTCTGTAAAGTGCAAACTTTTCCACAGACGACGATTTAATACTTCTCGGAGCGATGCGACTGACCACAGCGATAGAGGAGCCGCCGCCGCCCGTCAAGCCCGAACCGGTCGCAACGCCCGCCCGACCCAAGCAAACCAACACTAATGATAAAACAACGCAGCAAACACAGGACGTTTTCCAATCACTGGTTCAAAATATCAAAGATGACTTACTAGACAGTCAAAGTTCGATGACCGACAGTCTCTCAGCGCTAGAATCGATAGACCCGCGACTCGCATCCACCAGTATCATATTCGAAAGCGACTCGGACATGGAAACAAAATCGCCAGAAATGGATGCAGAAGACGATTGCCAGATCATAGAGAATACGGTTGAAATATGCGAACTGAGCGATTCCGGCGATGAGTTAGATTTAAAAACCGAAGACGATTGCGTGAATGAATCAGAAGTGAAATGTGAAGATAATTCAACGATAACTAAGACTGAGGAGTTTGAAGAAAGTTCCAAGGACGCTATGAGTGATGGTATGTTGGTTATTTGTGTTTTTACATTATAATAGAACCTGTAAATACCTGTTACCCTGTAAATAGCCAAGCTAAAATGTTTCTTTGCGCCTTGCACATTGTAGCGTTGCTGTTGGTGTCCCGAATAAATTAAATTGTGTAGTTGACAAAAAAACCTATTTAAACCCGCTTTAAATTAGGCCAGAACTAAAGAACTGTATTATATTCACTAATTATTATTTGCTATGTTTACACAAAAATATCTATTGCACTATAACTTCCCCCTCGTTCTTATAAATTAACCCTTTAACACCCTTCAGTTACTTTTTATTAGTAAGCTTTCAATAGCTAACAAAATTATTTAGTTACATTTATCTATTTATTTATAAATATCCGCGCATATCTCTTTCAGACCCCAAACTTAAAATGATTCCATGTGTAACACTCGTGAGGTGGGACGGGCGAGCGCAGAGCGTGCGGTCTGAGAGGCCACAAACTTTGATACAAGAGGACATTTCAGGGTTAAACGAAGTGGACACAGACAAGGGCAGCGTCCCGGGGTCGGATGCGCCCCAGGACAGGCTGACGCGGCCCTGGGGGTACAAGGGACCCCTGCAGGGAAGGGTCGAGGACCTCAGGTGGCTGTGCACGCCTGTATCTATCTATGTAGAGAAGCTGCCCAAAGAAGTTTTGAACAAGTACGTATAGTTTTCATTATTTTTATTTCGGTTGTGTTATAAGTATAATATAAGGCGACAATAGCCCAACGGTGACTGTGTTTCAAGACTCGAGGAAGGCTAGTTCAATCCTGTTTAGAATAAGTCTGGTAAACCGCGTCTGGTGAGCGATTATACAGGGTGGCCAAAACAGTGAGGTCTAAAAGAAAAATTTAGATTCCTTACATCAAGGTGTACCTAAATCACCCCCATGTATGTAATACGATTGTGCTTAGTTTAGGAGATAGAGTTAATTTTGTGATATTTTAAAATTTTGTGACCTAGTAGGCTTTAAACATTTTTATCTTTTTTTAGGGGTGACTTTTCTCAGATTTCTTTTTTTCGACAGATTTGGTATTAATTGCAGATGTTTGAAAAAAATAATCACCTTCCTATCTTTGATTCAAGATACAAAAGTTTTGCTAGAAAGATAAAAATTATGCTTTTATCAGAACACTATCAAATTTTCAACTTAAAAGTTTAAGTAAAAAAAAGAACTTCCATAGGTCCAAAACCATTTTAAAAACTGCGCCGTTTCCTGTACTTTCATAATAATACAAAAAAACATCTACTTAATGGGTCACTATTTCCTGTAATCGGTCCACTAAAGTGGCAAGTCGGAGATTCCGTTACATGTTTTTGACTTTCTTAGAGTGAATTAATATTGGGAATCCTCTAAGTTTACATTAAGTAGAACAGATTTAGAGCAGTAACTGGACAGAAAATGTATTTATTCTCAACGAGGAAGTTCTTGCCCTTCATCACACCTGGTGGAAACTGATGATTAGGCTCAAGGTGGAAGGGAACTTCAACTACAGAGGAACTATGGCTTCCTACCTCCAAATGCCAGAATACAGTAATGCTGTTAACATTATTGTTATAGTGACAGACTTACGAAAATAGAGTTGCTAACCAGGCAGACTTAGATCAAACCCAAACCGAGCAGAAAATTTCACCTCCACTGGGAAGCAAACCCGGGACCTCTGAAGCTTACCTCTTACCCCTTGAAGACAGAGGCAGTTGTTACATTTTACTATTACCCTTGAAATACCTACTACAGTGAGAAGAAGGAGGGATATTTGGTTTATGTTCATTAAAACTTACTTAAAATAACAATGTGTTCCGGAATTTGGAGGTAGGAAGCCATAGTTCCTCTGTAGTTGAAGTTCCCTTCCACCTTCAGCCTAATCATCAGTTTCCACCAGGTGTGATGAAGGGCAAGAGCTTCCTCGTTGAGAATAAAAACATGTTCTGTCCAGTTACTGCTCTAAATTTGTTCTACGTAATGTAAACTTAGAATATTCCCAATATTAATTCACTCTAAGAAAGTCAAAAACATGTAACGGAATCTCCGACTTACCACTTTAGTGGACCGATTACAGGAAATAGTGGCCCATTAAGTACATGTTTTTTTGTATTATTATGAAAGTACAGGAAACGGCGCAGTTTTTAAAATGGTTTTGGACCTATGGAAGTTCTTTTTTTTACTTAAACTTTTAAGTTGAAAATTTGATAGTGTTCTGATAAAAGCATAATTTTAATGTTTCTAGCAAAACTTTTGTATCTTGAATCAAAGATAGGAAGGTGATTATTTTTTTCAAACATCTGCAATTAATAACAAATCTGTCTAAAAAAAGAAATCTGAAAAAAGTCAACCCAAAAAAAAGATAAAAATGTTTAAAGCCTACTAGGTCATAAAATTTTAAAATATCACAAAATTAACTCTATCTCCTAAACTAAGCACAATCGTATTACATACATGGGGGTGATTTAGGTACACCTTGATGTAAGGAATCTAAATTTTTTTTTTAGACCTCACTGTTTTGGCCACCCTGTATACATGGGGGTGATTTAGGTACACCTTGATGTAAGGAATCTAAATTTTTCTTTTAGACCTCACTGTTTTGGCCACCCTGTATTTTGCTCACTTTGAGGGTTAGCAGAGATATAAGTAATTTAAAAATTCGCTTCCCTGCTTCAGTCCCCATCGTTTTTGGGTTGTTAATAGTGTAACCTAGTTGAGATCTCGTTCTACATGACTTACTTGACTTAGGCCCGATTCGACCATACTTTTATCTGAGAATAATTCGTGTTATAACTGACACATTGTCAGTTTCAGTATGGGAAACATGTCAAAACCGACGATTTATTCTGAGATTAGTTGTCTTGTTTGGTCAAATCCACCCTTAAGGTTCTATGTCCCCCTAAATGGGGCAGAGGTCGTCCACAACAGTCCTCCATCGCGTTCGGTCTTGAGCTTCGCGTTTGATCTCGCTCCAGGTCTTGCCGATTTTCTTCGCATCGTCTGCTACAGTGCGCCGCCAAGTTAAGTTTGCTTGAGGCGACCAGATTTTCGTTTTCCTTGGGGGTTCCAATCCAGAGCCTGCTTGGGATGTGATCGGGGTCTCTTCGGTCGGAGTGTGGCCGATCCAGTTCCACTTGCGCTTGATCTGCTATTCGATCGGTTCTGATCGTTCTACGTGGAAGATGAAAAAGATATTATAGCCTCGTGATTTGGCGTGTGTTGCAGCGTGGACGCCGAAGACGAGGTCGCGGACGCTCCGGACGGCTGTGACGGCCCGGACGCGTTGGACGGCCCGGACGGCTCGGACGCTGGGGACAGCCCGGCGCGGCCCGTGCAGCTGCCCGACCTGGAGCAGGTGCGGCGCCGCCACCAGCGCCAGCTCGTCGCGCAAGTGGCGCCGCTGCAGCACGACGCCGGTAACGGAAACATCACCTTTACAATGCTGATTAACATCATCATACTAGGTCACACATGCACTCCTGCTCACCTTGCTAGACTTCGTATCGTGAGAGACCCTCTGTGTGAATGTAGGGTTGATATTGCTGACGTAAATCATATATTTTTCTCTTGCACTTTGTACGACAGATCAAGCTTTTTGGATGGTTTAATTTCTTCCCATGTTCCCTTCCCGACCAGCATTACCCAACTTCTCCTTTCTTGCGATTTTACAATATACAAAACATTAGCTTCATTTATTATTTTAAACAATATCAAACTTTAATTTTGTATGTACATTTAAAAAAAATGTGTACCTAATATATTGTAAATTAATTATTGTATAATATTATAATTTTATCCTACCACAATCCACTCTCCTGATCACTTTCTTCTCTCCATCCGATCCTTCCGTTCCGTAATTTTTCTTTCCTTAACCGTTTCCCCGTTATTACTCGACAAATAGCAACACAAGCCGTGTAAAGCCAACAACCGAAAAACAAAACATCATCATATTGAGTAAAGTAACTTGTAAGTTGTAGTGAGTAGCTGTGGCATAATCCACGTGAATCTCTCAAGATTCGGTACTCAAAAATTGCGCGCGAGGTTTATACAGTGTGAGTCACGTTAAAGTGTACATATCAAAATAGATGAAACTAGACCTATTTTTATCGACAAAAAAGAGGTCAAAAATTTTTTGAGATTTTTTTTTAATTTTTTATAGAATTTTTTTTCTTCCAATTACCTATTGTAAAGAAAACATAATAACTTTTAAACTAAGCGGTATATCTTGATACAAGAAAAACAGTAACAATGCTAAATAACAGGCAATACTAAAAAAATACATAAAATACACAAAAAAGGCCAACAAATAATAAAAAAATATACTTTTTGAAAAAAATCCACTTAAAAATTCGTGTTTTTTTGGTTATTTGATAAATTTCTCCAAAAAATGCCCCTATAACCGGTAGTTTTTATTACTTTGTATTATTCTCTATCATATTACCTTCGTAAAACGCAAAATCGCATGTCTCTACCCCTATCACAACGTTTGCAATGATCGTTTGAACTAAGCCTCTCCGGGCGCGCCATTCAACGCTTCGTTTACAACAAAACTGAAAATGGCTCTAGATTTGTAATTTTGATAAAGACAAGTTAGATTTCAAATAAAAACAAAAGATTTCGAAGTAAAATAAGCATTTTAGTTAAAATTAAAATTGTCTCTACCTGTAGCGTAGAATAATGTTGTGGCAGGCCTTTGTTCAAACGATCATAGCAAATGTTGTGATAGGGATAGAGACATGCGATTTTTGGTTTTACAAAGATAATACGATAGAAAATAATACAAAGTAATAAAAACCACCGGTTATAGGGGCATTTTTTTGAGAAATTTATAAAATAACCAAAAAAACACGAATTTTTATTCAGATTTTTTTCAAAACGTATCATTTTTTATTATTTGTTGGCATTTTTTGTGTATTTTATGTATTTTTTTAGTATCACCTGTTATTTAGCATTATTACTGTTTTTATTTTATCAGGATATACCGCTTAGTTTAAAAGTTATAACGTTTTTTTTACAATAAGTAATTTGAAGAAAAAAAATTCTATAAAAAATTAAAAAAAAATCTCAAAAAATTTTTGACCTCTTTTTTGTCGATAAAAATAGGTTTAGTTTCATCTATTTTCATATGTACACTTTAACGTGACTCACACTGTATGATATAGGGACCACTCACTCTCCTGTGGATATTGTAAAAGGTGTACTTAGGCGGGTTTTAGAATCGCGCTGACCGCTCGCTAATCGTTAGCGCTGACAGATCAATATTATGTATGTAATTAAAGGGAACGTTCCTGAGTGACGCTGATCGCTCGGCGCCGACGTTTCATACATTTCGGCAATCAGCGCTGACGGTCAGCGTGCGTCAGCGTGACTCTAAAACCAGCATCAGCGTCACAGTCCATGACCGCGTCGTAATAGACACGTATTCGTCATTGTGTACGCTTGGTGTACGTCATTGACAAATAAGCAAGCATGGCAAGGAAATGATTTGTTTGCAGAAGCCAAGACGCCATCGCGGACCAGCGAACGGACGGACTCCTTAGAGTCTTCGATCGGAAGCAACAAATCGGTGAGTGTTCATTATAAAGACTTGTGTTTGTGTATCTGGTGATATTGAAGTCACTTTTAAATAAAATCGTGGCTTCGTAATAAATTTATTTTCATTTGTATCAGAATTCGCCGTTGCTGGAAGATTTCGGCTTATTCACGCAGCTGCCTAAAGAAGAAGGTATGTTAATAGCCCTCATAAGTACCTACCAGTCAGCGTCAAATATTTCGTGGCACCCAAAGTGGCCAACAAATTGACAACGCAACCTTATTCCCATTGTAAGTTACAAAGACGTGTTGCGAACTTTTGGGCTACTTTGGGTGTCAGGAACTATTTGACGCTGACTATACCATACGACACAATTTCTTATTTTCTTGTACAGCAACCGGTGAAGTAAAACCTTTTTGATGCTTTTTATAATCTTTAATAGACGCGTCGATTATTATGTGATACATTGTATAACCGCCTGGGATGGGAGTCGATCAAGGTCACTGAACCAATCAGAACTGACCAAGAACATCTTCATATTTCAGATTCCGACGACCTACTCTCCGAGGAACAGCTCCATATGATATTGAATCAATCTCAGGTAAAACCGTATATAACTACACTGAACAAATCACAAGATAAATTGTTTGTTCAGGAAATACACCAGCAGGCAGCGAATTCGTCCCTAGCTGTTCGCATTATAAAGGAGTCGTCGAAACGCTTAGTGCGAGCTGGTGGAATTGTGATTGGTGTATGATTAACAGTGGACTTACTCATAAATTATGTACAATCACTACTGCTCAAATATTCATTAAAACACACGAGATCCATTTTCAAATCGGGCCACTTCTTGTAAACGCTGAACGCACTTTGAAACTATATCCGCGGTCGAAGTTTAGTTTTGCACCGTGGTTTTGCCAAAACATTTACACCTGACGCTGACTTTTTTTTCACTACCTCCAACTTCTATGTTTTTCTATGAATGCTATTATGTTTGTGTTAATAAGCGAATTTTTGTAAAAAAAAATTATGCATAACAAGGCAGGTAAATGACCACAATCGCACCTGATGTTAAGTGGAATGCAGTCTAGGATGGTACATATCTGCCCTGGAAGTGCCTATTCACCCTCGCCTAGAAAAGGCCCGGATTATCGTCTTCGGGAAATGATAATTCTTAATGAGAATAAAGATTATAAACCATGAATTTGTCCGCAGCCGTCGTCGCCCGAGCGCATCTCGTACTGCTGCCTGGCGCGCCGCGACCGCGCCTACAACGAGGCGCGCCACCGCCACCGCCTCATCGCCACCACCACCCGCCTGCTCCAAGAGAAGGACATTCACGAGTGAGTCGCGCTCTTACCACATCTAAAGCCTGGTCCAGGTGCTCACGGACCAGGCTTTAGTAACGTATTTATTTAACGCAATCTATCAACGCTGTTTATTGTTAAGTCATAATAATATGTGTTGTGTCAGGCCAAGTTGTTCGCATACAGAAATAAAATTAACTGGGGTGCGGCCTCGAATCCTACTATGGATAAATCTTTGTTTGAGATAAAGTTAAAAGATAAAGATATTTTTATTTATCAGAACGTGTGACAATCAATATTGCAATACAGAAATATATTTTTGGTGATGATGAATAATTACGTCTCTCTTCGCAAACATAGGATAAGATAATTTGCTACCTCAATTGACGAGCTTTGCAGTGATTTAATGAAAACAAGTGACCCCTTTAAAAACAAAATTCCTGTTATGTGTTTACCATAGCGTAGGGGTCACTTAAAACTTAGGGATTGATCGTAAAAACGGGCATAAGTTTAAGACCCATGTCTATGTAATTTCCACCATTACAATTGTCACTTAATACGCAACAACAATTTGAAATTTGAATTTGTCGTCAGCGCCAAGCACGGCGGGCCGCCGTACGGCTGCGGCTGCTGCTGCCTGCACCTGCTGGCGCTGGCCCCGCCGCGCCTGGCGCAGCGCCAGCACGAGCTGCTCAAGAGCGTCGAAGCGCTGCTACGTCCGAAGGTGGGAAACGAACATACTTAACGCTGTCACACAACGCTCCGCCTAACTACAAATTCAAAAATTAATGAAGTCGGGTAATAACGCTCTTGTAAGCTTATGAATGGGGGCTGTATATTATATTGCTTTGAAATCAATGTTGATTATTTGTCAATTAAAAATTGGAGCGAAATATTTTTAACAATATTAAATCGACTCCAAAAAAAGAAAAGATATCTTGAGTTTAGCATCTATCTATATTTGTTTGTTCGTTCGTTTCATCCGAAAGACGTCCACTGCTGGACAAAGGCCTCCCCCAAGGATTTCCACGAAGACCGATCCTGCGCCGCTTGCATCCAGGCACCTCCCGCGACCTTCATCAGATCGTCGGTCCACCTAGTGGGAGGCCTGCCCACGCTATGTCTTCCGGCTCATGGTCGCCACTCAAGAACTGTCCTGCCCCAGCGGCCATCAGCTCTACGAGCTATGTGCCCCGCCCACTGCCACTTTATTTCTGCGGGCTATGTCAGTCACTCTGGTTCTCCTACGAATCTCCTCATTTCTGATTCGATCACGTAGGGAAACTCCGAGCATAGCACGCTCCATCGCCCTATATTTGCTACTTAGATCTTTCCTACTCAGTTGGCTTGTTATCTGTATGTGACGTTTATAAATCTATACATTGCACAATAATTAAGTTCCGACTAAATATTATTTCAGGATAATCCACCAGAAAAAGCCCATTCGAGCAACAGTGGTACGTACCTACCAAAAATAACAGTTTTTCTTTTTATTATATTCTTTGTGTTTACATGTTATTCTAATAACTTGATCCTTTTCGTAACATACACAGAACAATCAAGAAGGCCGCGTGGATCGCGCAGTTCCACCGAAGATGAGCGCCTCGTGATAGACATCGCGGAGGTAAGCAAACAGTTTATAACTTTGCCAATATGTTTGTACTCATCTTTATGAGGCTCTTATTTTACTGCTAATTGATATTTACATCTTTCATAACGTCTATTCGCACATTATAAAGGTAGGAAGGCGCTGGACGCAGGGCGCTACCAATCGATCAACGTGGAAATCATTGGGGGAGGCCTATGTTCAGCAGTGAACGTCTATGGCTGAAATGATGATGATGATGATTGACACAAATAAACAAAAGTTTGATATTAGATACTCGTAAAATAATAATCTAATAATTAATTGTGTGTGACATTTACCAGGTTGAAAAACAAACGCCTGTCAGTAGAAAACGAAGCAAATCTGTCGCCGAGTCCAAAAAGAAGAGGCCAAAGTCAAAAGCAGGGAAACGGAGAAAAAAGAGTAAAAAGACAAACAAAAAAGATATCAACTTGGAACAAAATACAAAAGATATCGAAGCGGAGCAACAACAAAACAAAAACGATGACAAGGAAATTGAAGCGGAACAACAGAACAAAGAAAAGCAACAAAAGAATAACGATTACAAGGAGTGGATGAGGCAGAAGAATTCGCACAGGAGGTTCTTCGAGCTGCGCGGGAGCGGCAAGGACAAAAGCAAGAAGAGAGCGGCCGACCACACCTACGCCCTCGACGAGGCTAAAAAAAAAGCCGGAGACGAGTCCAATGCGCTTCACAACAGCGACAATGCAACCGCCAACGCAGCCGCCAACGCAACCGCCAACGCAACCGCCAACGCAGCCGCCATCGCAACCGCCAACGCAGCCGCCAGCGCAGCGCCGGCTGAAGAGTCTCAAAGCGTTTCTAGTCAGGAACCAACTCCAATCGCGGCAGTCGAGTCAGTGCCTCCGATAATAACGCACGTGGCCAGCCAAGCGCCGGCTCCGAACCAGATCGTGGTGGTGGGCTCGACGCTGCTGGTGCCGCCGCTCGTGCCGCTCCCCGACACCGGCAGCAGCTACTACATGATCTACCAGGAGCCCAGCACCAGCGCCGTCCGCTCGGCCCCGACCATGGCCATCGTACCTGTGGCTATCGACCTGCAGACGCCGCAGGCGCAGCCCGCCGACCCGACCCCTGAAATCACTGAGCCTCGAGCGAAGACCGAAGGGCAGACGATCTTCCGCGAGGACTTCAGGCAGCAAATGGTGAAGAATCTGTCTCTGCTGTGTGGAGGGGGGGTCACGGAAGTCGTCAAAGACGATGAGGAGACGCTTCCGAAACCCGACGAGGAACCGTCGACGAGTGAACGAGCGCGGTCGCCGAGGATCTTCGACGAGCTGCCGTCGTCGTCGAAGAGCACCGACGAGTTCCGCAGAATAGCGCCGGCGCTATTCAACATGGCCGCCGTCAGCCACGCGGCCGACGCGGCGCCCAGCACGCCCGTCGATGACGACGACGACGACTGCGTCATCACCTCCGCGCCGCCCAAGAAGATCATCATCCGGACGAAGAAAAGTAAGTCAATGATTTGTAGTTTCCGGGCCTTTTCAAGGCGAAAGTGAATAGGCACTTACAGGGCAGATATGTACCATCCTAGACTGCATCCCACTTAACACCAGGTGCGATTGTGGTCAAATAATTAGCAGCGAAATAATTTACATCCGTTGTATTTTTTTTTTTACTGTATTTGCCAATATGGCGACTGATTGTTCTTCTACATTTATTTCTGCTATTTATCCTGACTGCAACGCAACCACAACGTCAGAAAGTGCTACACTTTTAAGTCACTTCTTGACGTTACGGGCCTTTTCTTTTGAATTTTGGCGCGCTTTATCTGTAAAAAAAGTAAAAAATACAATATGTCGAGAATTTTTTCCCCTAACATCACTATTATGATGAGCCCACTAGTAAACAAGCATATCAACGGTGAAGTGTCAATAAATAATAACTTACATTTATGTTTTATTGCATATTCGTGCTCAAAATGTGGTTATGCACATGAAATATTTCAACAAAACATTGAAAACTATAACTTTCGGAACTCACTTGTAATACATTAAAAAAAAATCAAAATTATTAGAATTACGAAATGAAACGTAATTTTTTGCCTTGTGTAACTTTTTGTAGATATTATTTATTTAGTAGGTATTTGGACTATTTGGCTTAGTAGGAGGGGCTAACGGGACTATGCAATACAAATTCCTAACATTCTTTATTTAAAAAAAATGGTTTCGTCAGTACCGGCGGCGCGCGTGCAGTTCCTGATGCCGGGCGCGCTGGCCCGGGAGCCGGCGCGCCACGTGTCCACCTTCGCGCGCGGCGCCGCCTTCGCGCTGCTGCGGCTCGACCGGCGCCGGCCGCTGTGGGCGCCCGCCGGCCGGCTCGTGCTGACGGACGCCGCCGTCGCCTGCCACCACATCCGGTACGACACTAGCCCGGGACCGGCGCCACGTGTCGCTGCTGCGGCTCGACCGGCGCCGGCCGCTGTGGGCGCCCGCCGGCCGGCTCGTGCTGACGGACGCCGCCGTCGCCTGCCACCACATCCGGTACGACACTAGCCCGGGACCGGCGCCACGTGTCGCTGCTGCGGCTCGACCGGCGCCGGCCGCTGTGGGCGCCCGCCGGCCGGCTCGTGCTGACGGACGCCGCCGTCGCCTGCCACCACATCCGGTACGACACTAGCCCGGGACCGGCGCCACGTGTCGCTGCTGCGGCTCGACCGGCGCCGGCCGCTGTGGGCGCCCGCCGGCCGGCTCGTGCTGACGGACGCCGCCGTCGCCTGCCACCACATCCGGTACGACACTAGCCCGGGACCGGCGCCACGTGTCGCTGCTGCCTTCGCGCTGCTGAGGCGATACGGTTTATTGAGGCATGCTGTAGAGGCGGCCAATGGGGCAGCAAAGTTCTGGAGTGGAGGCCACGTACCGGAAAACGCAGCGTGGGACGTTGCCTGCTACCTTTATCAGGTCGTCGGTCCACCTTGTGGGTGGTAAAGATAGCAGGAAGGCGCTGGATGCAGGCCGCTACCAACCGTGCGATGTGGAAGTCATTGGGGGAGGCCTATGTTCAGCACTTTCTGTGGCTGAAATGATGATGATGGTGCTGCTGAAAAGGCTCCCACTCACATTCCGTCCGCATCACAGTTAGTTATCCCAGGGTTTCCCAATTTTTTTTTGCCAAGGAACCCTAATTGATTATACTTTTCCTAGCGGAACCCCTGTACTACTCCGCCCGCACGCCCTGCCTCTCCCTTGCGTAAACAAGTCTCGGTGCGCGCGAACAACGTCGGTCACGAAACGTGGGATAATATTTTTTACGGAACCCTTGCGGCCTTTCCACGGAACCCCAGGGTTCCGCGGACCACTTTTCGGGAACCGCTGAGTTATCCTATCGATTCGAGTGCTAGAGGTGATCAGTCGATTGCAATAACGTTTCCTCCGTGTTGTGGCAGGTACTACGTGATCAACTGCAAGACGTACAACCGGCCGGTGCCGGTCCACTTCGAGAAGGCGCGCATCAAAGTGCGCGATTTCGCGCGCGCTCCGGACGCGCCGGCCCCGGACGCGTCCGAGCCGGACACGGCGGCGCCGGACGCGTCCGCAGCGGACACGTCTGCGCCGAACAAGGACACTTCGGTCTACGCGGAGGACGTGCTGGCCGACTCGAAACTTTACAAGAAGCTGTCGTGCGACCTGCCGGTGTACGCGTCGGTGAGTTATTATTTCATATAAATCTTCGTTATTTAAGCTTAGGAAAACAATACGTTCATTCAACCGTGCTTTGGACCTGTCTGTAAACATACATTTTCTGATAATAAATAAATAAATAAATAAACCGTATCTTCATAGCATTAGGTTCAAATTGATGTTCTGTTGACCACTTGAATTCCTGAACCAAAACCTGGTTCCCTGTAGTTTGCCGTATAGCACTTCTACTTTTCCTTTGGGTATCGAGAGACGCGACGTTAATATTAAACGAGCGAACGTTGACCCCCACCTGTGTAATTGAGTTTTACCCCCTTACTTATAAGTTACACGCACTTTAAACACTTGTTTAAAATTTTGTATGGAAATTTAATTTTAAACAACAGTTTTCAAATACAAAGGATTATTCCATTTTGTGTCCTCATTTGACATTGGAACCATTTTTTCTCACCCAGGTGAATCGATTCGACTAAACTAAGTTCAACTAGGAATTGATTCACCCAGGTTTTCGCATTTGTTTACCTGGGTGAATTAATTCCGAGGCAAACAAAGGCGACCGCTTTAGTCGGCTCAATTCACCTGGAAAATTAGCTAGGCGAACGATCGTGTAACTTTCTATCAGTAACGAGGTAAATGAGTTACCGATGGCGATGTGTGCGTATATTTTTTAACAAGGCAGGTGTTCGATCATAATCGCAACTGGTATTAAGTGGGATGCAGTCTAGGATGCTCCAAACCTGCCCTTTAAGCGTTCAATTCCTCTCGCCTCGAAAGAGCCGAATTATAGTCTTCGAGATCTTTCTCGAAGCAGCATTCTTTCGCACATTCTCCGAAGGTGAACCTGTAGAAAACCGATATTAAATGAGGTGTCCGGCCAGGTGCTGACGGCGCTGACGGACGCGGCGTCGGGCATGCTGCTGCTGGAGGCAGGGCTGGCGCTGCGCCTGTACAGCCCCACCACCGACACGGTGACAACCCTGGAGGCGAGGGAGCGCGCCATCCGCTGCCCGCACCCCGCGCTCGCGCAACTTCTGGTCAACAGGTGAGAGAAAACATTGTATACAGGGTGTTAGGTAAATGGGTATATGAGCCGACACTAGCCCATGTTAACATGGTCATATAAATGGTATGGTGAATTCAGAAAATTGATATCTTCATTTTAATTATTTTAATTTTCATACAAATCGGATTTTATAAAATTTATTTTGTATGAAAATTTAAAAAAATAAAATGATGATATCAAATTTCTGACTTCACCATACCATTTATATGCCCATGTTAACATAGGCTAGTGTCGGCTCATAAACCCATTTACCTAACACCCTGTAGATCAGGGTTTCCCAAACTATCTATGGGTCGCGACCCAGAGGTGGGTCCCAAACGAACATTGAGATGGCCCTGCCTGTAGAACGACACATCATCCTACCGATCCAACCGCTGGGCGGCGGGCGAAATTTCCTATAGGTGGGTCCCGAGTTTGAGTATTAAATGAGTCGCAGCCCAGACAACTTTGGGAACCACTGGTATACATCGTTTCATCCACAAAGACGCGCCCCACCATTCTTCCGCTAATGTTTGACTTTAAGTGTTATCGGTACACGCAAAATCATCCATGAGCGCACACGCACACTACAATAATGCCTTACGGATTGCTCGGATCGAATTCCCCGCACCCCGCGCGACCGAGACAAAAAAAATTGGTGGGGAGCGGCTTCGTGGATGAAACGATCTGTACAAATGAGACTTTACACATTTGGAATAGGTTCAGACGAGACAGCACATCAAGGTAACACGGTAGCTTCTTATGTCCGTAGTAATTGAAGTGATTATTGTGCAACAAAAATGGCTACAAACTGGCTGCCACTTTGGTTCAAAATTAGACAAGTTATGTACGCTGATCTCTGTTGTAGTCTTAATGAGGATATTGGGAAGAAAAATTTCGAGACGGTATTGGTATTTGTATTTTCTCACACGCAGTAGGTATAGTGTCGAGTATTGTAATGGCCGAGTGCGGACCGAGCGATAGCAGCACGCACAGATGTAGCGCCATCTATTTTTCATTGTATAAATTCGCTTGTCCCGACTCCGGTATGAAGTCGTTCAAAGAAAAGATAAAGAAGCATAAATGGCGCTTTACAGTTGCATATTTAAATAGATGGCGCTAAATCCGTTGTTTTACAACAGAGGATTTTTTATTTTAAAAATTAAAATAAAGTAAGAGTTCGAAGTTGAGCATGGACTTACCTCTTTTGTAATATTAGTTCCGATTGGTTATTGCGTATGCGAACACAAATGTTCAAACCTTATGTGTTCTCTCTAATTTATCCCTACCGCATGTTACACAAATGCGTTTTTCTTTTTCAGTTTCAACGAGCTCTCCCCCAATCCTGCCTGGACAGTGGACCCAAGTGTTGTAATGTAAATGTTCAGTTTTTATTCTTTACACCATTACCAATAGTGGTGATCATCATTGATATTATGACGAGACAATTGACAAAAATGAAATGTTTCGTTACATTGACTTGAAATAAAGATGACGAATGTCTTATTGTTTAACAAACGCTCAAGGTATTATTAATAAATAAGTTTATGACGCAGTTTTTTGTACAGCAGAGAAATATTTGTAAGCATAAAATGGATGATTCGTGTATCTTTGTCGCCATTTTAACGTGTTGTGTGTAGTCTTCAGTTTCTTATTCTTTTGCATACATTGTAGGTATGAGTTAAGTATTTGCAACGGTTTCACATAAATTTAAATTCTTATAGAAAGAGAATAAGAAAATAACATACATGTATAAGTTAAAAGTAAATGATCTGCGCTAGGCTAAAAATCATAGATCATTGTCAAAGTACTGACTCGAATTAATCTGTGTATAATACCGATTTGTTAAGTTTATGTTATAGTTTTAAGTTAGTAATTTAAGAATTAATTTCGGAAGGACTTAAATGCGGATATTAAAGAGATAAAACATGGAATTTACGATAAAATCTTACAGGATGAGTTTTATGTTTGATTCCAATTCCTATTTTTTTGAGTTGTGACATTTTTTAAGCGATGTGCGAAATTTGTTTTTTGTTATTTAGATACGTCCCTTTTTTAATTGCATATTCCATGATGACTGTACCCACGTGTTTTGTTTCTATTTCAGTGATCAAAATCAAAGATTAAGTGTAGTTTATGATTATGTACCTACCCACCAAAATATGTGAATGCTTGAAAAGTGTATGGAATGTATTGTGTAAATGTATTATAAAATAAAAATTATAAAGACTCAATCGTTCGATTAATTTTTCGGAAGTTGCAAGAGAAAAAATTACTGCGTTAATTCATATCATTTGAAAAAAAAAGTCGCATTTTTTTAAAGTAAAACACGTCATCAATAAATAATACAAGTTTATTATAAATGTACAGAGGGCGTGGTCGACGCAAGTCATTTTATACAATCAAACACCTAAATCCGTAACTAAACGAGTATAAATTATACAAGTACGTAAAATATAATATAAATTTTGAATAAATTAGCCAGTCTCGTGAGGTGGGAACAGAAACGCTGCGAACAGTGAGGATGAGCAAGCAACTGGAAGTTTTAATATACGCCACGTGACGTCATAAAAGTAAACATTGCACTGTATATGCATTATTTTGAATCTTAAATAACGAGGGACAAACCAAAAGAAAAAAACAGTTAACAAAAAGATGAAAAGACTACGCTTATTGAAATGTAACTCTAAAATGAACTACAAGATGATTTTAAGGCACAAATCGTATTGATCAAGTGAATGAACACTAAATACGAAAATCTAGATTTTTATATTCATATACCTACCAAATGAACATACGAGTTCCTGGCACAAAGGCTTCATATTAAATAGATTAAATACTGGACTTGGTAATAGATGCCACACAAGCTGGCTGCCCCTTTTGTTGGGTAAAACTTCCTCTATTTGCACATACAAACCGCGCAGCGAAAAAATAAATTCTAAAATGATCGCAGTAAAATCATTAAATCAGTCTAATAGTTCCCCTTAACAACTAATAAATGGGTAATGGCGAATTAATGATAGATTACAAGTATTTATATAAACGATAGTTGTTTTGTGACGCTATTTTGTTTGCTGAGTTTTATTTTATTTTTCTTTATTCAGGAAAACACAGTTGGGTTTGGATTGTTTATATGGACCTTAACAGACCAGTTATTAGTTAAATAGATATGTAAATAAATAATAGTCCCTTCTCTTTTGTACCTGGTTCGTAAAGTTAGTATATTCTAAAACTTCTAAAACAAAATAGCGCCGCGAAAGAACTAGAGCAGAAAAAGTCTGCATCAACATGAAAGTCACAATAATATTATAATGGAGTTATTAGGTGCCGCGGGGGCAAGATGGAAGAATACAGGAAGGTACGGTTCCAGTGCGCACGATTACTTTACAAAAACAATTTTTTTGTCACACGGGCCAACCTCCAGATAACTTATCTGAAAGATAAATTAGATACATTGTGGGTTTTTGCATAGAAGCATGTCAATATGTCTTTGTTTCTTATGAAAATATACAAAATAGATGGCACATAATGTTCTAACGTTGTTAAGTAATCGTGCACAACTGCATTAACAAAAAATATATCCTAACCTTTTTAAACAAAAAGATATTCTCACTATCAAATAAAACGTCAGAAAAAGGTTTCAAGGTCAATATTACATCTCAAAAGGAAAAATCGATTACTAGCAAAAGATCGAAAAATTGTATAACCTATCAATTCGAGCGCAATTCCTGGTTTGGTCTCGATTCATGCGTGCAGTCGTCAACACGTCAACTTGCCACAAACGACATCTTTCAATTGAATTTGAATCTTACATTGATGCAATACAGTTCAGAATCCATTGACATTGTGTGGATGTTGACCTGCTGCCGAGCGCACATTAACTACTTACAAATACAATATAATCTTAAACAAGTTCTATGTACACGAGCACGTTCCGAATCAAAATGCAAACGTTAAGATCAAAATAGAAAAACGGAAACTCGCACGAGGAAATAAATAAACCTTATATTTATCTTAGGCTTCTCTTCGCGAAGGGAGTTTCATACTGATGAACAGAACCATGACATCAGATAGCATTTTGGTATTGCCATCGCTTTTATTACCTTGAAAATAAGAACGACTTGCACTGCAGCTGTAACGCTAGGGCGTGTAGTGTCCATTATGCATGAATCACAATGCATTATAATAATCAATAGTGTGTATAGTCTGGTCTCTGAGCACGTAGAATTTTGTCCAATGACCCCAAGCTACCCATCCTTATCGCTCGCGCGTAATTATGTTGCTGTCGCGACTGTGCGACGGACGAGCGATAAGGATCAGAGATCGGGCTTTAATTACATCGAAGAGCTACATTTTAGACATGAGATCATTTGATTGTTTTACTAAGATTTTAAGTCGTACAAAACATATTTAAGTACAATATCATACCATACAATCAAATTTATTTATTTCCTCACTGAAGCTTGCGCGCCACATTAATATCAAAAAGTCCATATTCGATATCAACCTTACGACGTTAGTGTTAAGGTACAAAATATTTACAAGTGCAGTATACTCGTCCTATGCTAAGTAAACGTTAGTTATATTACAAAAATGCGGGTGAACGCGGTGTTGTCATCATAGCATTCCATTTACCCTATTCAATCAATACAAAATCCAATAAAGTATTTTTAATTTATCAAATGTAGGTAGAAAATGGCGTCATATAAACCTTTTAATAGATGGCAACACCGCGCCCGCCGCCGTTGAGCGCAAAATGTTCAAAAACCAGTTCGTGCGAAGTTTGTACAAACGTCAAGTATCAAAACGCTACAGTATCGTACACCTTAACTATCTAGATGGCATATTGGGCGTAGGGTGAAACTACTCAGAATATCAGTCTCACCGTTGTTGCCACTGTATTTTTATCATTGTGACCTTGTAATACAGTTCAAAATGCATAGAAAATATTTTTCTAAATACTGTCAACATATGCTCTTCTCCATTGAGAAATCAAAAATTATCTTTATCACAGTGCAATAAGAAAGTAGACTATGATATTTAAAGTAGTTTCATTCAACGCAAACTACAAATCTGAGGATACATCGCCCGACCAACAACGGAAGAGGCAGGGGTTTCACTACACTAATCTTTGAACAGTTTATCGCTCGCAGTGAAGCCCCGCCTCTACGCGGCCCGGCCCATTTACAAAACCTAACTAAGCTACCTGAGGACTATTTGACTAGTTCTTTACATTACATACAAATGCCTGCTGTCCGACGACTTGATAGTGCGGAATAGACCCGGGGCTAATGCAATATGAACTGTAGGAGCCAAGTTGAATGTTTTACCAGTTTGTCAGTAAAAATGGCACTTAACATCTTGCATAGTATAATGCCAGTGGCAAGTACATTTTCTCATGGTTAACTACAACAAACGTCAGCGACTGCTGAACCACTGTCAATTGATCATTTATTAAATAGCCCCGCCCCGTTGTTACCACACATTTCCTTTGCTTAAATGCTTACAAAAATAATAAAATCTTTCACTCAGGCAAGACAAGATTGGCTACGTTTATCCTAAACCACCATTGTACTCACAATTTATAAAACTTATACATTTATACGTATCAGTATAACGGTGGATTAAGATACAAGATTCATTGGCGACTTTTCGATGTCTACAAGTTTTAGTTAAATGTATAAATTGATGTTAATCAACTAATAAAATTGGTTATTCCTTAACCTACCAAATGTCTTTGTATAATAAATTCCTAAACAATTGAAGCCTAAAATTAATTCTTAAAATATAATACAAGTTATATATTTAATGAATCACATTTATAAACATAACTAAGTATGTAAGCGGAGATAGAAACGCCGTCGCATTTCTTAGCCTTGGTTCGACTTGAATTCAAAGAGATTTGTTTCTGGATTCTAAACATCATTCAAGTACCTAAATATGTAAGAAACAAACAATATCAAAAGAGTTTTCTAACATTCAGCGTAGTTTAAAACTTATAATACTATTTTGTGCCATAAAAGATCCAACTTTTGTTGCCGAGCCTAGCATCCAAGTATAAATTAGCTAAAATACTTAAGATCGCAGTCTTGAGCATTGCGTTGAGCATACGAATTGTAAATCCTCTACAAGTATATGATGTAGTACAGTTACGATTTTACGACAAGAAAAGGTTGTCATCACATCATACAAACCGTTGGTCAAGACAATTTACTAAAAAATAATGTCAAAAGGGAGTAAATTTAGTAAGAAGTTAGTTCAAATCCATTTCTGTAAATTGTCTTTCTGATTGCACAACTAATGTATGCATTCATGCATTTGAATAGCTAACTTGGTGTTGTAGTCTTCCATAAGTCCATTTAATGTTTTGCATAATAATATGCGAATGAGCAGTGTAGATAATTCACCTCACAAAACGCGACTCGACGCGACAAAACGCTACGTGACGCGACAAGACGCTACGCGGCGCGACACGACGCTACGCAACATGTGAAGTCGCTTCTTGTCGCAGGATTGTTGAAACATACTGTGTAGCGTCGGTCCAATCGCGTCCGTGTCTTGTGCCTTTCATCACACATTGCGTTCGCTGATACAGCACACTGTAGTGTTCAAGTCCAATTACAATTGTTACCATCTGACCAGGGGTGGCTCAGTTAGCGTCCATGTCATCTCACAAAGTTATAAGTGTTACCAGATCCGTCGGTAGCTTCGTTAGCGTTCACGTGAGCCTTCACAAGTTTCCCAGAGTTAACAAGTCTCACAGAGTAAGTGTAAACAAGTCCGTCGGTGGCTTCGTTAGCGTCCATGTGACCTCTTGCAAGTTTCACGACATGTTCGCGTTCGCTGACGCAGCAAACTGTGTAGCGTCCAAGTTCAATTATAATTGTTACTATCTGAGTTACCAGGCCAGAGGTGGCCTAGTTAGCGTCCATGTGATCTCACAAGTAAGCGTTACAAGACCAGTCAGTGGCTTGGTTAGCGTCCACGTGACTGTAAATCCGTCAGCCCGACGCATAGTGGCGGTACTCTTTGCGCTAGCAGTGGAACTGCTGTTGCGTGATGGCGGAGTGGTCCTTCATCAATTACAAGTATTACCACCTGGCCGGGGGTGGCCTAGTTAGTGTCCATGTGATCTCACAAGTCTCGAGTAAGTGTTACCAGATCCGTCGGTGGCTTCGGTAGCGTCCACTTGAGCTCTCACAAGTATCTTAAAGTAAATGTAATCCCAGATCCGTCGATGGCATAGTTAGCGTCCATGTGAGCCCTCACAAGTATCCCAGAGTTAGCGAGCGCTCGCTCACAAGTATCCTAGAGTAAGTGTAACCAGATCAGTCGATGGCATAGTTAACGTCCACGTGACCTCTTACAATATTCGCTGACGCAGCATACTGTGTAGCGTCCAACTTCAATTACCGTGTAATTAGTGTTACCATCTGGCCGGGGGTGGCTCAGTTAGTTAGCGTCCATGTCATCTCACAAAGTTAGTAAGTGTTACCAGATCAGTCGGTGACCTAGTTAGCGTCCATGTGAGCTGTAAGTCCAGTTGGTGGCTTCGTTAGAGTCCACGTGAGCTGTAAGTCCAGTTGGCTTCGTTAGAGTCCACGTGAGCTGTAAGTCCAGCTGGTGGCTTCCTTAGAGTCCACGTGAGCTGTAAGTCCAGTTGGTGGCTTCCTTAGAGTCCACGTGAGCTGTAAGTCCAGTTGGTGGCTTCCTTAGAGTCCACGTGAGCTGTAAGTCCAGTTGGTGGCTTCGTTAGAGTCCACGTGAGCTGTAAGTCCAGTTGGTGGCTTCGTTAGAGTCCACGTGAGCTGTAAGTCCAGTTGGTGGCTTCGTTAGAGCCCACGTGAGCTGTAAGTCCAGTTGGTGGCTTAGTTAGCGTCCACTTGACCTATAGTCCGCCGTGTGGCCTAGTGGCGGTACTCCTTGCGCTAGCAGTGGAACTGCTGCTGCGTGATGGCGGAGAGGTCCTTCATGAGCCCCTCTAGGTTCTGCATCTCGCGCTGCAGCCGCTCCGTGGAGCGCGACGGCGTCAGCGGCTCTAATTCCGAGCTGCAGTGAGCTACCGCACCGCCTGGGACAGATACAAACATTATTGCATGTTACGTTGTAAAGTCCAGTCGCCGAGCAGATAGAATTTCGTACAATGACCCCAAGCTACCCATCCTTATCGCTCGCACATTCACTGTGGCCGCCCGTCGCACAATCAACAAACAGATAAGGATCAGTAGCTTGGGGTCAATGTACGAAATTCTATCTGCTTGTCGACCGGACTTAAGTACAGTCAACGTCAAATAGTTCGTGCGTGTCACGTGACCAAAAAGTTGATAACACAACCTTATTCCAATTGTAACAAACAACGTGAATACGTCACGAACATTAATATGGTTTCACAGTGCGCCAAAAAACCCATTTATAGAGAATACTTGAATGACGGAGTGACACACACGAACCAATCACAGAGCTCTATTCAACGCTGTACGTTTGACTTCGCATAGCGTTGAAGCTTCACTTACGCAAACATCGTTTGTGAATACGGATGAAAGACTTGTTGTGAACTTTTTGTTAATTTGGGTGTCACGAACTAATTGGCGCTGACTGTACACAAATCCGCACCCCATATACTGGATAAAAATGTTAAAGTTTTTTCATTCATAAAGAATAGTAGCGCAAACGCAGCGTAGGACGTCCACCGACGACCTGTTAAAGGTAGCAGGAAGGCGCTGGATGCAGGCCGCCTCCAACCGTGCGATGTGGAAGTCATTGGGGGAGGCCTATGTTCAGCTGTGGACGTCCTGTGGCTGAAATGATGATGATGATGAGAGAATAGTAAGCAGCAGTGCACTGACCGAGCTGCAGGCGGTTAGGAAGATGTCCAGGCGATGAACTGGCACTCTTCTTGTAGGGCGACGTCTCGCGCGCACTGCCCGCTGCGAATCACAAATACCAGATATTCATTAGAAAGAAACAAAAAGTATTTATTCAATAACAAATAACATAGATCTTTAAAAATGAATGTACACAATGATACTAAAAAGATATCCGCTCAGCATGGTGTCGTAGCATCTCATTAGATAATGCCACGACGAAATTATGTGAATAGTGACTGAGTGCTTGCGCTGCTTCTTCTCAACACTGGCCCATTTATTGTCCCGTAGCAGAGGTAGGATTAAATGATGCTGGAATGCATAAAAGAGAGCGACAAACTCCTCCCAAATCTATACTTAATATTATAAAGCTGAAGAGTTTGTTTGTTTACTTGAACGCGCTAATCTCCGGAACTACTGGTCCGATTTGAAAAATTCTTTCAGTGTTAGATAGCCCATTTATCGAGGAAGGCTATAGGCTATACAACATCACGCTACTATCAATAGGAACAGAGCAACAATGACAAATGGTGCGAAAACAAGTTTTCACGCGTACGAAATCACGGGCACAGCTAGTGTGTCTATAAAATAATTAAATAATCCTCTATTTTCTGTGTGTATCCTCACCACTTCACCAGTTGACGTAAAATAGGAATCTGTTAATCGCTAGGCTAAAACGGTGGCGGCAACTGGTAAGCGTTCTTCAAGTGGTAGAAGGACTATCGCATTTGTCTTCACTAGGATGGCGCCACTGTAGAGTCAAAGTCATGTGACTCACTAGTGGTGTCAACTATGAAGTATAAAAATTATAGTACATACCAAGTGAGTGCCCCTTTCTTAGAAGTGTCTGCTAAAGGCTAGTCGTTCTACATTACGTAACTTATATCGCTGTTCGTTTCAGTAAAATGACGTCCACTGTTGGACAAAGGCTTCCCCAACAATTTCCATAATGACCGATCCTGCATTACCTGCATTCAGGTACTACTTCCCGCGACCTTCACTAGATCGTCAGTCCACCTAGTAGATGTTGCCCACACTACGATAGCAGCCACACTGGCGGATTGCAAGCATTTCAAAGTGGGGCGGCTACGAGTCGTACGCCGCTCACTCAAGGCGTAAACGTTGCGTATCCGCAGCGTCTTCGCCGCGCAGCCGCGACGCATGCTCCGCTTTAAAAAAGCTTACAACCCGCCAGTGTGGCAGGGCCCTAGCCCTTACGTCTGCCAGCCCGCTGTAGTAAAGTTCAAATTCCAATAAAAATGGATTATACATTTGACTTTGACATGCCTCGCGAGTGCGCCGGCGTGGAGTGCTCCGAGCCGTCCAGGAAGCTGTGCACCGCGCGCGCGTGTCTCTGCAGCGAGCCGCCCGCGCACAGCGCCCGCCCTGCCGAGTGGGGCAGCATGCTATGTATGATACATGCCTCGCGAGTGCGCCGGCGTGGAGTGCTCCGAGCCGTCCAGGAAGCTGTGCACCGCGCGCGCGTGTCTCTGCAGCGAGCCGCCCGCGCACAGCGCCCGCCCTGCCGAGTGGGGCAGCATGCTATGTATGATACATGCCTCGCGAGTGCGCCGGCGTGGAGTGCTCCGAGCCGTCCAGGAAGCTGTGCACCGCGCGCGCGTGTCTCTGCAGCGAGCCGCCCGCGCACAGCGCCCGCCCTGCCGAGTGGGGCAGCATGCTATGTATGATACATGCCTCGCGAGTGCGCCGGCGTGGAGTGCTCCGAGCCGTCCAGGAAGCTGTGCACCGCGCGCGCGTGTCTCTGCAGCGAGCCGCCCGCGCACAGCGCCCGCCCTGCCGAGTGGGGCAGCATGCTATGTATGATACATGCCTCGCGAGTGCGCCGGCGTGGAGTGCTCCGAGCCGTCCAGGAAGCTGTGCACCGCGCGCGCGTGTCTCTGCAGCGAGCCGCCCGCGCACAGCGCCCGCCCTGCCGAGTGGGGCAGCATGCTATGTATGATACATGCCTCGCGAGTGCGCCGGCGTGGAGTGCTCCGAGCCGTCCAGGAAGCTGTGCACCGCGCGCGCGTGTCTCTGCAGCGAGCCGCCCGCGCACAGCGCCCGCCCTGCCGAGTGGGGCAGCATGCTATGTATGATACATGCCTCGCGAGTGCGCCGGCGTGGAGTGCTCCGAGCCGTCCAGGAAGCTGTGCACCGCGCGCGCGTGTCTCTGCAGCGAGCCGCCCGCGCACAGCGCCCGCCCTGCCGAGTGGGGCAGCATGCTATGTATGATACATGCCTCGCGAGTGCGCCGGCGTGGAGTGCTCCGAGCCGTCCAGGAAGCTGTGCACCGCGCGCGCGTGTCTCTGCAGCGAGCCGCCCGCGCCCATAGAGCCAGCTGCGCCCATAGAGCCAGCCGGGCCCGCCGAGTGCGGCAGCGTGCTCGACGCGCCCGCGCCCACGTCGCTGCTTAGCGAGTCGCGGCTATGGATGGAGAGGTTGTTCATTACATCCTTGAAATGTGATAATGTAGTGCCCAGGGAAAAACAAGTCACTCGTAAAATATTGAAGTATTTTGACACAAGAAGCTGCCAGAGTTGTTAACGCAAAAAAATGCTGAGCTCACTTATCAGCAGGACAATCGGGGACTCGGGGTCACTTATAAAAAACGGGACTATTTCCACCTCTCGTGCCCACCGCTGCAACTCCTGTGTAGCCAGGATCTACAGCTTGACCAACATAAAAACCCAACCAATGAAGGTCAAGTTTGTCCCGGGGGAAAGTTAAACTGTCATTGTCACTGGGGTCACTTATAAGTAAGATGTCTACTGTTAAGTCACAAGCTTATTATTACACAGGAGATGCAGCGGTGGGAACGAGAAAACGGTGGGAACGTTTATTCCCGATGTCCCCCACTATTTGTCCACCACTGGTGGACATCCAGAAAAAAAGTTGCAATGTCCACCAGTGGGGGACAGCGCTACTGAAATTTTCCCGTTGGGCCCTACTGGTGGACACTGAGAAGAAATGAGTCGCTCTGTCCCTCAGTGGTGGACATCGAAACCAAAAAAGTTCCGTTGTCCCCCACTATTTGTTTTGTTTTCATGATTATTAAAAAATAAACATTTTTATTTCGTATCAAATATAATTCTCAGTTTTTTAACATAATATGAAGTTGACCTTCGTCCTTGATATTAATAGCAATCTTCTAAATATATAAAAGGCGAAACTGACTGACTGACTGACAGATCAACGCACAGCCTAAACGGCTAAACGTAGGCACTTGAAATTTGGAAGGGACGTAGCTTAGGTACCGTAGAGGTGCACTAAGAAAGGAATTTCCGAAATTCCCACGGAAACGGGAATTAGCGGGAAAAACGGGATTCACGCGTACGAAGTCGCGGGCGGCCGCAAGTAATATATAATATGATATTAACAATATTCATAGAAAATGCGGTATTATTCTACAGCAATTAAAATAAAAACAAAAAACTTTTTAAAGTGTATTGATGGGCTACCTTTCCTATTTATGTAAACTTTTTCAATTTGTCGTGAACTAGATCCTGCAATTTCCGACATTATTACAGATAATAAGTGCAAAATAGTAACATTACCGACACAATAATTTCTGATAACATGAACATTGTGGGTAGGTACTTAGAAAATTAAAAATGACAAAACCATTCCAATTAACGCACACTTCGGGCACCTTCGGGCGTCAGTATTAATTAAGGATTGTTTTAAACTATAATAAAAATGCTTTAAAAATGTATGTATTATAATTATTAGTTTAAGATTTACTTAAAATGTTTGTATTCAAATTCATGAACACAAATATAATAGTGGGGGACAACGGAACTTTTTTGGTTTCGATGTCCACCACTGAGGGACAGAGCAACACATTTCTTCTCAGTGTCCACCAGTAGGGCCCAACGGGAAAATTTCAGTAGCGCTGTCCCCCACTGGTGGACATTGCAACTTTTTTTCTCGATGTGCACCAGTGGTGGACAAATAGTGGGGGACATCGGGAATAAACGATCACCAGGATACCACCGTTGAGCCACTTATCAGTCAGACACTAAGCACCTTTTTTTCACAAAGTACATATTTCACTGATGTTAAGTGTGATGCAGTCTAGGATGACTATGATGGAGATGAAGTCATTATATTAGTACTCACTGCGTGTAGTGTCCTAGCGGCTCGTAGGCGACATAGTGTCCTCTCTCGCGCGCCGCACACGCGTAGATGTCGCCACCAATAGAAGGTGGCACGCCTCACGATAAATTGAGATGAGATTCTCAGTCGTATACCCAATGTTGAGCCAATTTTTCAGTCAAATACTCACTGCTGAGCCACATATCACTTAAATACTTCGCACTATGCCGCACAAAACAGTAGCCTTATTCACGTAACATAATTTCAACGACAACAAATCACTGAATGCGATCCTATCGAGTAATCGTTCTATCATAATTAACTTTTTAAAAAAATAAAACCGACTTCAAATGCGTGTACACAAAAAAAAACTAAAAATTAAAAATATTGCTTTAAAAAAAGTTCATCCCCAATTTTCCACCCTTGGGGGTGAACTATTTTCTTCAAATTCGCATGAAACCACCCTTTTGATAACACCTATTCAACAAAAAAATAATCGTTCAAATTGATTTATAATCGGCGGAGATATTGCGTATAAAAAAGTTCATCCCCAATTTTCCACCCTTGGGGGTTGTTTTTTCTATTATTAAATTTAAATGGGACCACCCTTGAGGTATTACCTATACGCCGAAAAAAGATTTGTTCAAATCGGTTCATAATTGGCGGAGTTTATCGCGTAACAAACATAGAAAAAAAAAACATACGGGTCGAATTGAGAACCTCCTCCTTTTTTGAAGTCGGTTGAAAATGACCCTTGTGAATTCGGATTTGGAACTGTTTTTCAATGGGACGACTTCTGAACGTCAGCGAGGTCTTGATTGTCAAAATACGTGAATTAGGCCACTGGTATTTGACTGCAATCGCACTTGATGGTAAGCGAGATGCAGCCTAGGATGATTATGATGGAGATGAAGTCAGTAGATTAGTCCCCACTTATCAGCAAGTATAATGGAGGGAAGTCGAACCTTAATTTCGAACTCCTCCTATGTTCTTCTGATTAATTTCGTTGCGGGTCCAATGACAGTTTAACTTTCCCCCGGGACAAACTTGACCTTCATTGGTTGGGTTTTTGTGGCGGTCAAGCTGTAGATCCTGGCTACACAGGAGTTGCAGTGGTGGGAACGAGAGGTGGGAATAGTCCCGTTATCAGCAAGTACTCACTGCGTATAGTGGCCGAGCGGCTCGTAGGCAACATAGTGTCCTCTCTCACGCGCCGCGCACGCGTAAATATCTCCTCCAGTGGAAGGAGGCGCGCCACACGCCGCGCCTAAAGGACACGTGCCGCCGCCTACGGACAAACATTCACTTTATTAGTAGTACTTTTGTTTTAGGTCGATGAATTACCCAGATTAAGAGAATAGTGTAGTCGGACACTTCGTGTTCAAATTTTGAAATGCTTCGAGCCCAAAAACCGATAACAATCGGAAGTCGACCAAGGCGAGGCGAGGTTGTTGTGCGTGTTTACATTATCTTCTTCATCTTCAGCCAGTTTTGCGAGCAGTTTAGCTAAGGGTTTAAGTGAGTTTGTTCCGGCGTTTCTTCTCAGCACTTGTCATATATTTGTCTCGAAGCGCTGATAGGGCCCAAAAGATAAGGAGACATGTAAAGTGCCCCATAAGGGCTACCTTTTTTTTATTTACTATATTTTGACGTTCATAAGTGCCACCAAGATTTTGATACGTACAGTAGTCGCGCTGCGACGCGTGCGCGGCGTGCGGCGGCGGCGGGGCGTGCTGTGGGGCGTGCAGCGACGCCAGCGACGACTGCGGCGACAGTAGCGGGCCCACGCCTGACAGCAGCGGCGTGCTCTGGGGAACACAATTAAATAGGCAAATGTCAGCACACATGTTAAATGATGTTCATTCCTCTTTCATTCATTCTTTCAATGGAAATGCTTTTGGCGAAAACTTTACCATGTTTTCGGCGAGGACACGTTTGCTAAGTTCAAGTGACGTTTTCCCATACATTTTTTAGCAGTGATAGCACTTACCGCTAAAAGGACACTATTTTAGCGGTAATACAGTAATTAAAATAATAATTCAAAAATTGTAAACCCACTTATAGTTATTGCGACACAGGTCTGCGAGCCTAGTGCAATAACTACTGCTGCCTTGTATTGTACCTAGCTTTTTATGAAAATAAATATTTTATTATTATTATCTTTTATTCAATTTTCTTTCTTATTTTTAATTTTTTCTTTTTACAATGTAATTATCAAAAAATAAAAATACATTATTATTATTATTTCGACCAAACGCCCCGAATATATCCATTTTGCAACCAAAAGGATTCAATAATTGTTGGACATTTTAAAATTGATGTTTAGATCGAGAACAAGTCTTTGCCCATCAATGGGCTATTTACCTGATCAGGAACGTTATGTCGCGGGTGTCCGCGCCGCTCACATGTCGACGTGCAGCCCACGCCCACGCCCACTCCTACGCCCACGCCTGTCATCGCTGTTCACAGAGAAAAAAAATAGTTATTTCCCTTTTTCGTTATTCTTTCGGCTGATTAATTTTTTAGCGATAAACCCATCCTTTTTGTTCCATTGCGGTACATTGAAAAAGACAGCATTTTAAAAGTCCATAAAAAATAATTTAACCATCGCGACCAAAAGTTTCCTAATTTACCATGAAATCTTGTTCTATCGATGAATAAAAACAAAAACATTTAATAATTTAAAAAAGGATAAATACCAAATCAAACAAAACAAAAAGCCAACAAAAAAAGCAACTCAAAAATAAACGCACGCGAATAATCGCACGCGTCGCGGCGCTCGTCGTAGCGTCGCGGGTACGCGTGTGATGCCTGCGACGCGCTCGCGCACGTGCCGGGCGACGCGCGCGACACGCACGACCCGCACGAGTCGCTGCCGCCGCGCGACGAAGGGCGTAGCCCGTCTATGGGGGTAGGGGGAAAAGGAACAAAAATAATAAGACAAAACAAAACAATAAACACAACAAAAAAAACCTTTTTTTAAAGACAAAAAATAAGCTGTATAAAAAGAAAGAAAGAAAAGGAGATTTGTCACAATCGATATTTTAATCGTAGACTGGATGAAATGCCACAAGAGTCACCACGTGTCCACGATTTTAGCGCGTCCTGTTGAATAACTTTCCATTTCTGGCTAGCGCAAGGAATGTAAGGCCCGGTTTCCACCAAAGCGGAGCAGTGTTGAGCCGTCAATTTTTTTTACAATTTGACACCGGCAGTGGCGCGGCGCGGCGTGATGGAAATAATGAAATCTGATTGGTTATTCAAAACACTTCTTTTTCTGCTTCGCTCCGCCTTGGTGGAAACCGGGCCTAAGCCAAATCCTCGTATTTTTGGTAAATAAGAGAGGGTTGTGCTCTTGCAGTGGAAACTAAATACCTGACAATCATGAAAGCCAGTGTGAGGAGTGTCCCTCCATTTGTACCTATCTAGTAAAGTCGAGTGGGTAGTCTTCTTGCAGTGGAGACTCAATTCCCTGATAATGATGATGAGGCATCATTATCAGCATTGCCCTGCGTGCCCAAAAACTGCACGAAGGAAGATTTGATGAATACTACTGACAACGCCACTCTTGGAGCAGAGTTTTAGGCCGACTCTGTGTAGGTTTGTTGTACACACGACAAGAAGGAGAATGATGATGATCTCTTGCACTCACCGACAGAAGTGGGTATGTCATTTGCTTCTGCTACCCTTCTAAGGTTGTGCAGACCAAATGACCTGATAATTTAAACTCTTAAACCTTTACCTGGTAGTGGCAGAATTGTTGCCACCATATTTTGAACCTTATTGAGAAAACGTAAGGTACAAAACTAATTAAAAATATTTTTCTCTATACCAGTTAAAAGGTTAACTCACCGACATAAGTAGGCACGTAGTGTCTGGAGTCGAGCGAGGCGGGCGGCGGCTGCATGCGCGCCGGCTCGTAGTCGGCGGGCGGCGCGCCGCGCGGCAGCGTCAGTGTTGACGATGCGAGGTTCGGCGCGTCCACGCTGCCTGCCGATACTGCAAGCGAGGGAACGTTGTAGTTGTGCTTAATTTCCACCAATGACTTTAACTTAATTGTAAATTTGTTCATAATAGGCTAGTTTCCTAAAAAAATTTTTTTAGTCCGTCATGTTTAATATCAAAAAATATTGGACACATATATTTTTATTTGTCAATCTAACAAATAATTACATAGTTATGGTGCGTTGAAATTCCGCACGACGTCACAACGTGCGGCACTTTTATGCAAGCATTGACGTCACGGGCCTCTTCTTATGAACTTTGGCGCGCTTTATCTCTTTAAATTTTCATTAGTTTGAAAAAGTGAAAAATACGTGTAGAGTATTTTTTGATAAGTTAACTGACGGACTAATTAAAACTCTTGCTTTTTGACCCAGGAAACATCCCTATTGTTATTTTTAAGTGTACATGTTGTTATGTAACAATGTTGGTAGACCTAATAAATAAATAAAATAAAATAAAATAAAATGAGAACTGCGGGGTTACTCCGAAAGACGTTATCCGAAGTTTCGAATGTTGCCACCCCTTTCTCGCAAAGTGAGATGCCAGTGACAGATGACCCGAAACTACGTTCCAGCGTTTCGAAGTAACCCCACTGATTTTAGGCAGCATCAGTGTGGATGACGCCAGGTTGGGCGCGTCCACGCTGCCCGCTGATACTGCAAGCGAGTTGTAGCATGATTCAATTAATTCAGTTCCAGAAACTGATTATAGGAAGGGTAAAAACCTGCTTAGACGGCGGATTCTTGTACGCAAAGGACAACATCCCTTTATCGTGAAAGAACATACCACACGGTATTGTTTTAATATCGTGAATCGCAATTTTCTGAGATTACACAGAAGTTCGCTTTTTGCTTTACTGCTCTTTATCACGCATTTTTGCTTTTGGCCTTCATCTCACCTGATGGAAGTGATGACCAGGCCGAAGGTGGAAAAGAGCTTCACCTGGAATGGTTGGAGGATTCCAGGTGAAGCTCTACCTGGAATCCTCCAGCCATATGAATTGGCTATCTTACCTCTAACTGCCAGAACACAACAATGGTGCTAACATTGTTGCTATGGCCATAGACTTATGTAAGATGGCGGTAGCTAACTAGTCATCATCATATCAGCCATAGGACGTCCATTGTTGAACATAGGCCTTCTCCAATGATTTCCACAATGATTTGAGCTTGCATACAGCCTTCCTGCTACCTTTATGAGGTCATCAGTCCACCGGTGGGTGGACATCCTAGGTTGCGCTTTCCGGTACGTGGCCTCCACTCCAGAACCTTGCAGCCCCATTGGCCGTCAGTCGGGTAGCAAGCCAGGCGGCCTTTTAATGGTTAGAGCATTGGTTCCCAAAGTGGGGGGCGCGTCCCTTAGGGAAGGCGCAAAGACATTTAAAGGGGGCCGCGGGCCATCTGTGTACTTCGTTCGTTCGTTTCAGCCAAATGACGTCCACTACTGGACAAAGGCCTCCCCTAAGGTTTTCCACAATGCACGGTCCTGCGCTGCCCGCATCCAGCTTCAATGTGTACTTAATTATAAAAAACCTGCGACCGCTGAGAGAATGCATTCCAGACTGTTCGATACGACCAGGCCTGTTCATCTCCGCGAGTTTACATCGCAAACAAAACACGCACGATTGCCCACCTACAGGATACTATACGACAAGGCCTCACATACGAGCGAACATTGACTCACGCACGCGTATTCTTGTGTATGATGGAAGAAAATAAAGAAAATGGTGTACTAAATACTGTGCAGTATTTAACTGCCTAAATAATAATAAAAACACAGAATGTACTTTTTTAAGTTGCCTCAAGACACTGAGAGGTAAATAAGTAGTTAATATTATTCATGATAATTCATGCTAAAACATGTATTTCCTCCGTCATTTTCCGCAGTTTGGCACCTCACGTCACATCATTTTACCGAAGTCAGCCCTATAGCTTCGGCGCAGTGCCGATCACTGACGTTTGTCAACAAAATGGTGCTTGACTCTTGAGACAGGCTAAATTACACCATATTGTTAATGACATTGAGCATACATTTTTTTAAATACCTTCGCGAATTAAAACTTCTGTACGTAGTACTTATTATTATTCTGTGATACGACCAATAAATAGGAGGGGGCGGATTTTTTTGTGTGCGCGTATCAAATACGTTAGGGAACTCCTAGGTTAGAGAGTTCTGCAAGAAAGGGCTCGACTAAGACAGTGCGGCGCGTACTCTTACTGGCGGAGCTGTGCAGGCTCTTGTCGAGGTGCTTGAGCTCCATCTGGTCGTGGTGGATCCACAGGTCCGGCGGCTTGATGCCCGCCGACGCCGACGACTTCTGGTACGTGCTGCAAACACAACGGTTACAAAGTCTCAATCACGGTTAATAAGTAGTGCACGTCTGCTCGCAGCTTACATACAAAAGTATAAATTGGTTAGTAGTTCAAAGTGTAAGCTGCAAGCTTGCTTACTAAGCGCAAAATGAAGCTACGCTTACGCTACAGCAAATATTCTGAATCTAAAACTAGCGACAGCGCGAGCGCGGCGGCGAGCGCTGTGTAGTGTGAGTGACGCGCGAGTGTAGTGTGTAGTGTGTAGTGCGGTCACCTGGTGTGCGGCGAGAGCGGCGGGCGGCTGCGGCGGCAGCACAGCGACAGCGCGAGCGCGGCGGCGAGGGCCAGCACGGCACACGCGCCGCCCGCCGACGCCCACAGCCACGCCGACGTCGCACTCGCCAGTCCGCCGCCGCCGCCCGCCTCTGCAACACAAACATATTTATTAATACGTACACACCAAAAGATCACATACAATTCATACGCCCGCGACGCATCAACAGCCCTAGCACCGAACGCGGAGCCGTGAACGGGACCGAGCTTATGTAAGAGGCGGCGCCTAGCATTCGCTCGGGAGCCATCGCAACAGCTAAACGATCGCGCGCGCGTCTACTGTTCCCCCGGCTGAATTGATAAACTGAGTGATAAGCCCATACGTTAGTCGTCTAAAATCATCGATAAGATTTTATCACGGCGCGCATCCCATCCCGGCTGATAGACAAAGACTACTCCCCAAAGATCAGTCCTGCTACTTATAAAACAAGTCGTTGCGCGCCTGCA